AATGATGACGAAAACAACAAGTATTAGTTTAGAGTTGAAATGAAAACGTACCGTAGTAAACGGTCCAGAAGGCATTCTGAAGACAAACAAAGACATTACAAAGTAATTTAAAATATCACCTTAATTATTATTATAACTATAGTTATCATATTTAATAATTAAAAATGTTTTACAAAAGAAAATAACTGTACTTAAATAAGAATTAACAAATATATTAAGATAAATAAAATATATGAATTGAAGTATTATTACAAAATATATTTAGACAAGAAAAATAAGAATTAATCTAAAATAAAAAATACAACAAATACTAATATATTCTTTAATAATGTTTTCCCTCACCGTACTGGGCGTGTCCTCGAAGTATTCCCGCGCCTCCTCGTAGTTGCACCGTTCCTCGTGGCACTCCCTCTCGAGGTTCCCCTGCAGAATCTCCTCCACCAGGAACCTGTTAGCGCGCCGCGAGCGCAGGAACACGTCCTGGGGGCCCCGAACACTGACAATAATAAAATAATAAATAATAAATACTATATATAAAACAGGTTAGCACGCGCGCGAGCGCAGGGGGCCCGAAACACTGACAATAAATATAAAATAATATAAATAAACCAGTTTAACTGTATGCGACGTCCTGGTTGCGAGCGCCGCAAAAAAACTACTAATATCAAATAAAAATCTTTGTAGTTTATAGATATTTATTATTTTTATGATTATTTTTATGAATATAAAACGTAATAGTTATTCAAACTAATTCTTCATTACGACACTGAGTGTATTTTAAGTTAAAAACCAGTGTTTTTGGCACCAATAGACCACCGTGTAAACTGGATAATTTGTAATTTGTTTATGTCTGAAATATCCTTTTCACCTTTCAGTTTCCCGCCCGATTGGCCTGTTTGAAATTAAACGACAGCTGATATTTGCACTAAGTTCGCAGTGTACCGATGTCTTACCTTGTCCTTGGATGAGAACCTGAAGGAAGCAAGCGGTTAGCGCCAGAAGAGACGCTCGAGCCGACATGATGCTGACCGCCATGACTCTGAGTGTCTGAACACACACTCTGTTTACACACTGACGTCACACACTGATTTCTGTCAGGAGTCTCGTGATTAAATCAAACCAGACTTCATTCACAAATTTACTAATTTAAAAAAGCTTTGTCTTAAATTACGGAGTTCAGTTTTACACATTTTAAATAGATTTTAAAACTCAATATTCCCAGAGGAGTCAGTGTTTCACCTCCTCATCAGGTGTGTTGCGTTAAAGAGTTAAACGGTATTTAAATGTCTCTTTGTAAACACTGCAGTGGACTCTGACCGGTTCTCTCTAAACAAACAGCATCGACCTCTGAACTCCAGGAGTCTGTTTATCCCCGAGTAAACAAGGGATTAATCATTTAAAATCAACCCCCGGATAGACAGAAAAACACACTGTAGGGGAGACGTGATGTCCCAACAAGACCCTTAGCCGATATACCCCACATTACGTTACAAACCTTAAAATCTGTCATAAAATATTCTAATATAACTGTTAAAATCTCCCAAAATCCAAGACGATGTCTTAAAATAATCTGCAATGAGATTCAATCACACAAGACTTCCACTGTTGTTGTTTTTATTTATTTATTTACCTTCTCTTTAAGCTGAAAAGGCACATTTTAGACAGAACACACGAACACACAGTTTCTTACACAAATGTAATACATTTTAATTGTTAAATTGATCAAAATTGCACTTGTCTTTTAACAATACTGATCAAAAAGCTTCTTTGTAAAATGGAAATATGTCAGATGCCGCCCTATAAATGAAAAATTCGATTAAAATAACTATATATAAAATATAAAGGACCGAGACTCGAGCCCTGAGGAACCCCTAAAGTAATTATCAACATTATAACAGGGATTAGCTTGTTTTGCTAGCTATGCTAGCGTAAACCTTTTTAGAAACTGATATTATATTCAAGGCAATTAATACTAATGAATTCTGACCAATTCATTTATAATTGCATTTTAAAGTATTTAAGGGTTCTTTTACGAACAGTATACCGTCTTTTTCCAAGTGAAAGGGTACTTTCGGTTTGTTTTATATTTATTCTGGTGCTTTTTCACATATACAAATTAAAAAGGACCAAAGACAAAACAGGATTGTGTGTACATCAGAAAATGTGTTAACACAAGTCTTTCTTATTGTTCAGAATATGGCATTTTAAAAATGTGGAAGAAAATGGAAACACAGAAATTGTTGCCTAAATGAACCGCACGCAAATACAATTTAAAAACGTAAAGATTATGAACGGTAGACAGATAAATCCCTGATTACATGGTTAGCGGTGTATGGCGTGGTGTTTACAGAAGCAGCCTCCGGGCCGGGCCGCGGTGCCTCTTCCTCCGCCTGCCGCTCTTCTCTTTGGGCATCAGCTGCTCCATGCCACTGTTGATCCAGCGGATGTACTTGGACACCTGAGTGTAAACGCCGTATTTCCCTTTCCGCGCGCAGCCCTCGCCCCAGCTCACGATGCCGGTGATGAAGTATGTGTTTCCGTAGCGTGTGACGTGCGGTCCGCCGCTGTCGCCTTGGCACGAGTCCTTGGCTATCGTGTCGTAGCCGGCGCAGAACATGTTGGTGCTGATGCGCAGCTGCGTGGACTCCTTGCAGGTGAGCCGGTCCACGTAAGGCATGGAGAGACGCTGCAGGATGGTGGATGGCTGCCGGCCCTCGCCCGTGCGCCCGAAACCACTCACCATGCCGTCCGGCTGCCGCATCAACACCTGTAGAACCAGGGGGGGAAAGAGTTAGCACTGGAAGCTAACATATTCATACCAGGGGGGGAAAGAGTTAGCACTGGAAGCTAACTTATTCATACCAGGGGGGAAAGAGTTAGCACTGGAAGCTAACTTATTCATACCAGGGGGGAAAGAGTTAGCACTGGAAGCTAACATATTCATACCAGGGGGAAAGAGTTAGCACTGGAAGCTAACATATTCATACCAGGGGGTAAAGAGTTAGCACTGGAAGCTAATGTAATCATACCAGGGGGGAAAGAGTTAGCACTGGAAGCTAACTTATTCATACCAGGGGGGAAAGAGTTAGCACTGGAAGCTAACTTATTCATACCAGGGGGTAAAGAGTTGGCACTGGAAGCTAATGTAATCCTACCAGGGGGTAAAGAGTTAGCACTGGAAGCTAATGTAATCCTACCAGGGGGTAAAGTTAGCACTGGAAGCTAATGTAATCCTACCAGGGGGTAAAGAGTTAGCACTGGAAGCTAATGTAATCATACCAGGGGGTAAGAGTTAGCACTGGAAGCTAATGTAATCATACCAGGGGGTAAAGAGTTAGCACTGGAAGCTAATGTAATCATACCAGGGGGTAAAGAGTTAGCACTGGAAGCTAATGTAATCATACCAGGGGGTAAAGAGTTAGCACTGGAAGCTAATGTATCATACCAGGGGGTAAAGAGTTAGCACTGGAAGCTAATTAATCATACCAGGGGGTAAAGAGTTAGCACTAGAAGCTAATGTAATCATACCAGGGGTAAAGAGTTAGCACTGGAAGCTAATGTAATCATCCAGGGGGTAAAGAGTTAGCACTGGAAGCTAATGTATCATACCAGGGTAAAGAGTTAGCACTGGAAGCTAATGTAATCATACCAGGGGGTAAAGAGTTAGCACTGGAAGCTAATGTAATCATACCAGGGGGTACTTTTACAAAAATAATCATGCAAAAGCTCCTCTTTAAATCTTCTGTTTCACCAGAATTAGAAAAACAAATATGAGCTAAGTTTGGAACGACTTGGCCACTGAATGCTTCAGTTTCTTTAGAAATTATATGTATATTTATCTTTTAGTTTCATCAAGTAATACTTTACACAACGCTTGCTGCTTCCTTATAAGATGTTAGTATGTCGGTTCTGCTGCTGAGGACACAAAACTCATTCATGTTACATTCAATAGAAGTGATAGAGGACCGATAACCGTTCCCTGAGGAACCTCAAAACTAATAATTGTCATTGTCAGAGGGTTAGCCATGTATCTTGGATGGTCTTTTGTTTGCTAATGTGTTTAGCATCAACTACTTTAGAGGCCAATAACATCAACAAGTTCAAATAAATCTAGTGTCTTTAAAGGCACAACCATGGTTCATTAAGGTTGTCCGAATATCTTTGTGTGGTTTCCACGGCGGCCCTGAATGTCAAACTTATTTGTGTAACACGTTTGAAGGTTCACCTTTTCAGCGAATTCCTGCTCAGGGATGCAGGCAGGCAGGATGAAGCGGGAGAACTTGATGGGCGTTGCTAGCTTCAATTAGCCGCGATGTCGTGGTTGTGAGGTGTCCGGCTTGTATCTGTGGTGCGTGATGATCGTCTCCACCTCGTGCCTCGCCTCGTTACCGTGATCCACCAACACGTCAAACTCCCCTGTACGTATTTCAGTTAAAGCGTGGCAACATAAATCTTGCCTCCTGTTTTATATTCGGGTCGTCAGACCTACCGAGTCTCACGTAGATGTAGCGCGAGGCATTCATGCAGTGGGCGGCCGTCAGGATGATGTACTCGTTAAGGATCGTTCCTCCACAGAAACCCCGGTCGTCCTCGTTCAGGAGGAGAGCCTGAAGGACCAAATACAAACTGGTTATACTGAAACAAAACTGACTTCCAGACTTCTTTAATAAACTTCAAAGAAAAAAGCAACTCGAGACAGGATAAAAAACTGGACTTGATGACAACGTATACCATTATCGCCTTGTTAAAAAATACAACATTTGACCTCCAATAATTCATTCCCACGTAGAAAACTAAAGCAAATCCTCAGATTTTCTAACCATCTTTCAATCTTTGCTTGAAATCCCAATTAATTGATAATCAAAAACTTTTTCAAATAAATGAATTTACACATCAACAAACACATCTTCATCATCTTCATCATCTTCATCATCTGCGTCAGCCGCGGCGTTATGGGTGGGCCTACTGGGCCTAGGCCCACCCACTCTGTCACTGGGCCACCCATTGATCAAAAATGACTGGGCGAAAATATAGTTTCCAACATTTTATTTTTGATTATCAAAAACTAATTAAATAATAAAATAAGAGCAAACGTGTGTTCCCTTTAAAAACGTAGAAAATTAAAAGCAACAAGAATTAATGTAATCGGGCAACGCAAAATGTGAATTTTGACCGAACTCATAGTGGAAGCGCGGGAGCAAACACATCGTAGAACGTCTCGCGGGCGCGCGCAGATGAAGGGAGACAGTGGACTGGACAGACACACAAATATACCGCACTCACTAACGATGTCACAACAATCGATGTTCAGGTTTTTTAAAAGAGTAAGAACAGAGTCGCCGCCGCCGGAAACCCCCACACTCATCATCCTCACAGCAGGTGCCGCCTCAGAGAGACGAGAGTGTGTTTAATGTTGTGCCCCGCTGAGCTCAGTCCCTCTGCGGGACGTAGCATCCGTTGCAGGATAACAGAAAATAGCATCCCAGTGCCGGACCTCTCAGCCATAGATGACCCGGCGGCTACACAGCCAAAGCTCATAAAGTACCCTCAGACACTTCTCGGACAAAAGAAAAGGAGCTCCGCTGCCCACTGGTATGACAAGTAGGCCTACACATTCTTGGAGTATAGCATTAGCAAGGACAGTGTGTTTTGTAAAATGTGCCAGCATTTTAGTGAGAGAGGCGGGGCCGGCGGAGAAGATACATTCAGTCGCCATGGTTACAGGGACTGGAAACATATCGACTATGCTCTCAGTAAACACGAATGCAGCTATGGAGAGAAATACAAACTACAGACAGTGCGAGAAGTCTGACCATGGAACCATCCTCCACCAGCTACTCAACCCAGAGGGCCGACAGGGAGAGATCATTGAGAAAGGTCGGGAACACGTAAAGTTTCACCGGACATAATTCTTACATGTGCAAAGCAAGAGATTCCTCATTTCATATTGAGACTAAATATCTAGGAAAATGATTAAGAAACGTAGAGCTAAAATGTCATGCCATTTGCAACTACCAGAGCGCACCCTGACGCGGCATTCTCCAGCCCAAATCAGCAAAGCTTATGAGTGTGAAGCAACAGTATCTGCTGCCCAGCTGCTTTAGGATGAAACGTACCTTCAGCTCATGAAAGCTCTGCAGTATCAGAAGGAAGTAGCTAGTGATAAATCTGCAGCCTCTGAAAAGTGCCGCGTCAGAGAACCAGTGCCTTTACGCACGGCCGCTCACTTCGCTAGATCCGCTAAAAAGGACACAGGCTGCGGTCTAACCACACAGACACACATCAGGGTCTAACCACACAGACACACATCAGGGTCTAACCACACACACACACCAGGGTCTAACCACACAGACACACATCAGGGTCTAACCACACAGACACACATCAGGGTCTAACCACACACACACACATCAGGGTCTAACCACACAGACACACATCAGGGTCTGACCACACAGACACACATCAGGGTCTAACCACACAGACACACATCAGGGTCTACCACACAGACACACATCAGGGTCTAACCACACAGACACACATCAGGGTCTAACCACACAGACACACATCAGGGTCTAACCACACAGACACACATCAGGGTCTAACCACACAGACACACATCAGGGTCTAACCACACAGACACACATCAGGGTCTAACCACACAGACACATCAGGGTCTAACCACACAGACACACATCAGGGTCTAACCACACAGACACACATCAGGGTCTAACCACACAGACACACATCAGGGTCTAACCACACAGACACTACCACACAGACACACATCAGGGTCTAACCACACAGACACACATCAGGGTCTAACCACACAGACACACATCAGGGTCTACCACACAGACACACATCAGGGTCTAACCACACAGACACACATCAGGGTCTAACCACACAGACACACATCAGGGTCTACCACACAGACACACATCAGGGTCTGACCACACAGACACACATCAGGGTCTGACCACACAGACACACATCAGGGTCTGACCACACAGACACACATCAGGGTCTACCACACAGACACACATCAGGGTCTGACCACACAGACACACATCAGGGTCTAACCACACAGACACACATCAGGGTCTAACTGACCACACAGACACACATCAGTGTCTAACCACACAGACACACATCAGGGTCTGACCACACAGACACACATCAGGGTCTAAAATGTTTAAAAGAGAAGAGGTTTAAAAAGGGAATATGCATTACACAGTTTCAATGATATGCAGGCATTTATTTTAATTTAATTGTTGTTAACGAGAAACATCTATTAGAACGGGCCAAGCTGAAATTACATTGGCCCACCCACAATTGAAATCCTGGCGGCCGCGGCTGATCTGCGTAGTGTTTAACATGTTAGTGTTTACCTGCCACGGACACTCCCCCCGAGGGACAGTCCTCTCCGTTCACGATGCGCGTCATACTCGCCATCTGAGAGTAAAGCGTCTCCTCGAACACGGCGCCCTCCAACAGGGGAAGTCGCTGTTCTCCAACAGGAAGTCGCTGTTCTCCGGCAGGAAGTCGCCATCGCTGATGTTTTTCAAGCATTAAGTCGCTGATGCTGATGTTTTTCATTAAGTCGCTGATGTTGACGTTCTCCATCACCGTGGTCTCGTTCAACACTGAAGAGTTCAAGCTGAGGTCCAACGGACTCGACCCGTTGCCCTGCGTCGTCGTGTTCTGGCGGTCGTACCGGAAAACTGTCCGGACGTTTTCCGTCACGACGGCGCCGCATTTAAAGACGTCTGCAAGAGATCGGAGTTTTGGGTTATTGCAGGAAATAATCTCTAAAAACAAACGTTTCTGATACTTGCATGTTTAGTTCAGGATAATCTCCACATATTAACACCACTTCATGATTTCTGAAGTAAAAAGCTAATAAAGGAACTACAGCACGGTCACATGACTTCACGTCACCACCGCTAAGCTAAAGGTGGCTAATGTTGGGCTATAAAGGAACTACAGCACGGTCACATGACTTCACGTCACCACCGCTAAGCTAAAGGTGGCTAATGTTGGGCTATAAAGGAACTACAGCACGGTCACATGACTTCACGTCACAACGCTAAGCTAAAGGTGGCTAATGTTGGGCTATAAAGGAAACTACAGCACGGTCACATGACTTCACGTCTCCACCGCTAAGCTAAAGGCGGCTAATGTTGGGCTTATAAAGGAACTACAGCACGGTCACATGACTTCACGTCACCACCGCTAAGCTAAAGGGGGCTAATGTGGGGCTATAAAGGAACTACAGCACGGTCACATGACTTCACGTCACCACCGCTAAGCTAAAGGCGGCTAATGTTGGGCTATAAAGGAACTACAGCACGGTCACATGACTTCACGTCACCACCGCTAAGCTAAGGTGGCTAATGTTGGGCTATAAGGGAACTACAGCACAGTCACATGACTTCACGTCACCACCGCTAAGCTAAAGGTGGCTAATGTTGGGCTATAAAGGAACTACAGAAGGTAACTTGCTAGGCTAGCAGTAGCTTCAACACAGGCCTCTCCTTGATGCTTCTGACTGGTCAAGAGATATTTAGCCTGACCACCCTTTCACTTTCTGTCTAGTTGAAGATATCCTCCAAGTAAACACCAAAGGTACAGCATCGCTAACACGTAGAGAGTCTGTTTCACCGTTGGAGTCGCAGGATTTATCGTCCGGTCCCAGGAAGTATCCGTTGGCGCAGGAGCACTGAACGTTTCCCGAGGCCAAGTTACAGAAGTGCTCACAGCCGCCATTTTTATTCTCACACAGCTCGGGGATAACTGCAGAGATAAAGGAAGCAGTGTTAGCATCATTAGCATCCGTTTAGAGGAAGCAGTGTTAGCATCATTAGCATCCGTTTAGAGGAAGCAGTGTTAGCATCACTATCATCCGTTTAGAGGAAGCAGTGTTAGCATCACTTTCATCCGTTTAGAGGAAGCAGTGTTAGCATCCGTTTAGAGGAAGCAGTGTTAGCATCATTAGCATCCGTTTAGAGGAAGCAGTGTTAGCATCACTATCATCCGTTTAGAGGAAGCAGTGTTAGCGTCATTAGCATCCGTTTAGAGGAAGCAGTGTTAGCATCATTAGCATCCGTTTAGAGGAAGCAGTGTTAGCATCATTAGCATCCATTTAGAGGAAGCAGTGTTAGCATCATTAGCATCCGTTTAGAGGAAGCAGTGTTAGCATCATTAGCATCCGTTTAGAGGAAGCAGTGTTAGCATCATTAGCATCCGTTTAGAGGAAGCAGTGTTAGCATCATTAGCATCCATTTAGAGGAAGCAGTGTTAGCATCACTATCATCCGTTTAGAGGAAGCAGTGTTAGCATCATTAGCATCCGTTTAGAGGAAGCAGTGTTAGCATCATTAGCATCCGTTTAGAGGAAGCAGTGTTAGCATCATTAGCATCCGTTTAGAGGAAGCTGTGTTAGCATCATTAGCATCCGTTTAGAGGAAGCAGTGTTAGCATCACTATCATCCATTTAGAGGAAGCAGTGTTAGCATCACTATCATCCATTTAGAGGAAGCAGTGTTAGCATCATTAGCATCCGTTTAGAGGAAGCAGTGTTAGCATCATTAGCATCCGTTTAGAGGAAGCAGTGTTAGCATCATTAGCATCCGTTTAGAGGAAGCAGTGTTAGCATCATTAGCATCTGTTTAGAGGAAGCAGTGTTAGCATCCGTTTAGAGGAAGCAGTGTTAGCATCACTATCATCCGTTTAGAGGAAGCAGTGTTAGCGTCATTAGCATCCGTTTAGAGGAAGCAGTGTTAGCATCATTAGCATCCGTTTAGAGGAAGCAGTGTTAGCATCATTAGCATCCGTTTAGAGGAAGCAGTGTTAGCATCATTAGCATCCGTTTAGAGGAAGCAGTGTTAGCATCATTAGCATCCGTTTAGAGGATGCAGTGTTAGCATCACTAGCATCCGTTTAGAGGAAGCAGTGTTAGCATCATTAGCATCCGTTTAGAGGAAGCAGTGTTAGCATCACTAGCATCCGTTTAGAGGAAGCAGTGTTAGCATCACTAGCATCAGTCTCGAGGGCGCTGATGTGTTTGTTGATGTGTTTGTTGATGTGTTTGGTGTTGATGTGTTTGTTGATGTGTTTGGTGTTGATGTGTTTGGTGTTGATGTGTTTGTTGATGTGTTTGGTGTTGATGTGTTTGGTGTTGATGTGTTTGTTGATGTGTTTGTTGATGTGTTTGTTGATGTGTTTGGTGTTGATGTGTTTGTTGATGTGTTTGGTGTTGATGTGTTTGTTGATGTGTTTGGTGTTGATGTGTTTGGTGTTGATGTGTTTGTTGATGTGTTTGTTGATGTGTTTGTTGATGTGTTTCGCGGTCCGTACCGATCTCACAGTTGAAGCCCTGGTACCCGTCTTTGCAGTAGCACGTGTAGCTGCCGATCCCGTCTTTACACACTCCGTTGTGAGCGCAGGGCACCGACAGGCAGGCGTCGCCATCTGAACAACAACAACAACTCAGTTCCTGCTTTCTTTGGTACATTTCCTGCTTCACACATATTGAAAGATAGATGTTCAAAAGAACCAGATGGTCCTATAGGAGTAGATAACAAAGGTCTTACCAACGTATTTGGCCCAGAATTCATTCTGAAAACAATAAAACAGAGAATTAAATATTTCAACTCAAACCATGAGTGGAAAAATAGGTAATGAAGGTTTTTTGTGACTTTTTTCAAGAAACTTTTGATCAATATCTGAACCTGGTGACTTAGAATAACATGTTGAATGTTTGCTGTTGTTTCCTAAGAAGCTGTACCGTCAACAAGCGACCCACAGCGTTAGCTTCAGTGCTAGCTGTCCCTGAGAGTGACTCAGATCTCTGAAGTGTTCGTGGTGTTTGAGTTTCAGGAGATATTCACCGTTTTGTCTTCGTTCTCGAAGATCTCCCTCGCCTCCTCCCAGTTGCAGCGCTCCTCCATGCACTCCCGCTCCATGTTGCCCTGCTTCATTTCCTCCAGGAAGCTGTTGGCTCGTCTCCGGCGGCTCAGGAGCTGCTGCGCCGAGTCGTCGTCCAGAAACACTGAAACACAAACATCGGTACGTCTCTGGAAAACGCTGAAAACACAATTCTATCACGTTAGAGTAAACTGGGTAATCATGTTAGCCATGTTAGCTTTGTTATCCAAGTTAGCTTTATTAGCCATATTAGCTTTGTTAGCCACGTAAGCCACATTAGCCACGTTAGCCATAAGGACACCTTACGCTTTATATTTTTAAATTTAAGTTTTTCTGTGATTTATTTGTAACTGAGCGTTTCTACAAGTGCTTTTTGTAATAACTCTTAAAACCTTTGACATTTCCACTCAAGACCCTTTTGTAGACGCTCCCAATGAGAAGCATCTTCGTAGCTATAATTTATCTGGTAAGAAAACCTTCAAATTACCCGAAAATGGAAATAATTTCAGCCCTTCTGTTCTGAACTAAACCCAGCACACCGGATGGGGTCAAGGGTCAACACAACCCCCGGCCTTCTACCAACAACTCACACTCCCCCCCCCCCCCCCCCCTTCACACCTGGATTATGTAAATGAGCCTGTAATATGTAAATGAGGTACCTTGGTGCGCGGCGATCAGCTGCAGCAGGAGGACGCCGAGCGTCAGCCGGAGAACACAAACAGACGTCAACATGGCGCCGCTACAACGGAGAATAAAACCTGAGAGAGAAGAGAGGAAGTAATGGAGGAGGGAGTAGGGAGGAGGAGGGAGTGAGGGAGGAGAGAGGGAGGAGGGAGTGAGAGAGGGAGGAGGGCAACGACCTGAGGGAGTGTTTACATTCATTCAGGTTTAAACTGTGACTCAGCTGATGTCAACATGTGTTTGCAGACTGGAAACTACAGCAGGAAGTGCTACGACCATTTCAGCCTGTCAAAGTCAAAGCACTGATTGGAAGACATTTTAAAATTGCGGTTCATTTTATTTATTTATATCGTTTTTAAATCATTAAAACTCATTTTTATAATTTATATATAATTAATTATTTATTCTATAATTCATAATTAATATTTCATAATTTTAGTTTTTTATTATTTATTTATCATGTATTTACTTATAACTATCCATATTGATATATTTAGTAATAATTGTTCTTATTTTATAATTTATTTATTATATATTTAATTATTTATTCCATAATTAATATTACTTTTATAAATAAAGTACAGCTAAAGTCAATAATGTATAAAATCCTCTATAAGATAAGAAATGGTAAAAAGAAAGACTGTTGGACAAATGATCGGTCGCTTCAGAAACTTTATTCAGCTTCTAATCATCAACATTCAATACAGACCAAAACCTGATGATTTATTACAGACTGAACAGAAGGGGGTTGTAGAAATAAAGTGGTAACCGTCAACAAGTGGTAACCGTCAACAAGTCACGTAACTGTCCACAACAAGTCATGTAACAGTCAACAAGTTATGTAACCGTCAACAAGTCATGTAACCGTCAACAAGTTATGTAACCGTCAACAAGTCACGTAACTGTCAACAAGTGGTAACCGTCAACAACAAGTGGTAACCGTCAACAAGTCATGTAACCGTCAACAAGTCATGTAACCGTCAACAAGTCGAAGAACAAGTGGTAATCCCCCTAAAACCTGTGGATAATGGTTTAAACCAGTTTCTGCTGCATCATGTCGAGGTGCTTCCCGATGGGGGGGGTCTCAGTGGGGGGGTTCTTCATGGTCTCCTCCACCCACTCCACGAAGTTGGCCATCTTGGCATACACCCCATAATACCCGGGATGCTGGCAGCCCCGCCCCCACCCCACCACGCCGGACAGGAAGTGGGTGTGTCCGTACAGCGTGACCAGCGATGCCCCGTCGTCGCCACGGCAACCGTCCGCCTGTCCCTCCAGGTACCCGGCGCACAGCATGTTGTCTGTGAAGTTGAACCCGGAACGTCGGGAACACTCAGCGTTCGGCAGGATGGGAACATTCATGGTGCGGAGGAGGGGGGAGGGGGGGGGCGAGGGGGGGGGCAGAGAGGGCGTTACCCCCCACGGTGCGCCCCCCCCACCCCGACACCACGTGGTATCGAACCGGCAGCAGCTCCCGTTCGGCGAAGCTTCGAGTCGGCAGGCAGACGGGAACGACTCGAGGACTCTGAGTAACCGGGAGGCGGAGCCTAAGTAACGCCACGTCACCGTCACCTGACAACGCCACGTAACCAGGGTACGGGATCGCCATGGAGACGGGCGTGTGCTGCTCCGTGCCCTCCAACACGTCAAGGTTGTGTTCACCTAGGGACCGAGACACAACGTAGATTTACAAACAAAACAACAACATTTAAAACAACATTAACAACATATAGTGTTCAGAGGCCTGTACGACGAAGCAGGATGTTCGCTGAGCTAACTTCAGGGAAAACTCTGGCTTTCCGGTCCTACGACGCTGGTTCTCTTTTTAGCGGGCTAGATCTCCATGGTAACTGATGCTGAGCGGCTAACCTGGTCCGGAGCAGGTTAGGTTGCAGGCTAAGAGATCAACTCAGTGAAAGCACCGCCTGCTGACCAATCAGAGCTCACCGCCTGCTGACCAATCAGAGCTCCGTGTGCGGAGTTTAAAGCGATCAAGTCATATTACAGGATAGAGGACAGACAGAAAAACTGCCGTTGCAGGAAAGACTGCCGGCAAAAATCAACTGACTGTGTGAACGTGAAAATTAATAGAATATCCCCTCCCATCTTCAGAGCAATCTGACTATTATAACATTAGCGTTAAGAAAGCTTACTTAAATATCTGCCACAACATAAGTAACCGGATCAGAGTAACATTACGTACAGTCCGCGGCACTGTGAGTGCAGACGTAGATGTGTCCCATTATCATTCATATCATATCACATCATAATGTATCATATATTTCCTTATCTGAGTCAGCTGAGCCGTATCTGGCCGTGCAACACTCACAGTGTCACATACTGGATGCAGAAGTATTATTTTAAGCAACACATTAAGTTGACGAAACACTCGAGTCAAATGTAATTAAAGTCAGATCGTGTCTTAGACGGGGCAGTGATATCATAAACCTGTTAATGTACGCATTCAAACACTTTCTCTGTTACCAGCTGTATTCACCTTGCAGGTGCAGCTGTGTGGCTTTGATCCTGGATAAAGTGTTTAAGTCATGGATGTTTAAAGTTTAACTTCTTCATATCTAATATTAAAGTTCACTTTTCATTCAGGAAGTATGACGCTGCGCTGTCAGTACGCTTGTCCATGTTTGAGATTGGTCGAATGCTCCAGATACCACCCCTTTCATGTGAACGCGCACCTAACTAGATAGGACACGGCTGGCTTGAGCGATCCACTTGATAACCAGCGTCGTAGGACAGCTTAGCGAGAGCGCGTATGTTTTGGATTGGGCCAACCGGCTAACTCAAACATATCCAGGTTAGGTTGAACCAGCTTCGTAGCACAGGCCTCTGGTTACGGAGAATCAACTCATGTTTATACAAGATTTATATATATTCTTTGTTTTTGTGTTACTTTGTCAAAAGCGCTATATAAGTGTATTATTATTATTATTATTATTTACAAACAACAAACAACATTTAAAACAGCATTAACAACATATAGAGATGTAGAACGTCTTTACAGGAAAACATTTCATGTAACTAATGTAAGTAACTTTATAGAAACGGTATTTATTCTGAACAAAGCGCTGACTGGTTACCTGCCACCACTGTGAGGTTCTGCCCACTGTTGTTGCCATGGATACAGTGTGCCGCGGTGACCACCCATTGGCTGTTCACCAGAACTCCTCCACAGTGACTCTCTCCGTTCAACTGGACCAGAACCTGAGGAGAGATAAAGCTCTTCAGTTTCTGACATCAGCTGTTATATCTCAGGATCCATGTATTTCTGATCCTCTCAAGAATGGAAGTAGTTAAAACAAAAAAAAGAGAATTCTTTAGTATTTTTCTAAAAATCTAAAGAATCTGAACTTTTCTCAAAATTCTGACTTTTTCTCAAAGATTCTGACTTTTTCTAAAAATTATGACTTTCTCAAAATCTCAAAATTATTACTTTTTCTCAAAATCTCAATTGTTCTCAAAATTACTACTTTTTCTCAAAATCTCAAAATTATTACTTTTCCTCAAAAATCGGACTCTTTCTGAAGCTGAAATGATCATGCTTGTCATATGTCTATCTCCATAGAGGCTGAATCATCATGTTAATCACATAGCTATCATATGCCTCAAACAGTCCTGATGCTCTTCTAGGTAATCACACATCCTGTCATGTTCACAGCTACAGTTGGGATACCTTTGTTATCATGTGACTCTCATGTTGGAAGAGGACATTCAGGATTAACAGCTGTATATGTATATGAAGCCTTCAGCCTGTAGGGGGCGCTGGTCTCTGTTTACCTGCCAGGGACAGTCTCCGGGGGGGCACTGTCTCCCCCCCACCAGCCGGGTCTGACCCACTGAACTCTGATCTGGGACCAGTTCCTTCGGAGGAACCTGACCACAGGGGAACTCCACTGGAACAGAAACACAGAAGATATCGGTCAGAAAAGTTGGAATTATTTGAGAACATGTTGAATATCAAAACCGTTTTTTACGTTGTACATTTTATAAACAATAATCATAACATAAATATTGCAGCTAAATGTTTTTTATTTATAATTAATTATGTATTCTATAATGAATAATAATAGTTATATTTCATCATTTTACTTATTTATCATGTATTTACTTTATACTAACCATATTGATTATTCTTTTTAAATAATTACACTTATTTTATATATGAATTTAATTATTTATTCCACAATTAATAATACTTTTATAATTTGACCCGGTCCCAGATCAATCATTTGTTATTTAACAACAGGAAGTACTTTTAATTTCTCATCGTAACTTCTATTTCTATCAATCTAGACTCTGCTGCCCTCTACTGTTTACGAACGTTACTGCACCTTCAGAAATGCTACACTAAGGTAGGTGTAACACTCAAGTAAACATATACGTATCTCTAAATAAGTGGTATTTTAGTATTTCTCTCACCCTGAGCGACGCAGCTCCGCCCGTCCTCCCCCAGCTTGTATCCGTCGGCGCAGAAACACTTACGATGTTCTCCCGATCCGTCGCAGAACTGTTCGCAGTGTCCGTTCTGATAGAGACACTTCAGCGCGTCTTCTATCACTGCGGGGGGAAATACACATTAATGTATACTTATACTACGAACAAAATAACAATATATATAGTTGAGTAGGTATAGCTAAACCCACTTAACGAGACATTTACGAAACAAACGTAACGTTGTTAGTCGTCACGATTTATCTCGTATTTATTAATTGCAGTTTTATGACTTCCTGTTTATTTGTAAGTTTACCCGTCTGGCAGTACTGTCCCTCGAAGCCCTCGCTGCAGTAACATTGGTACGAAGTTTCCATGTAGACGCACGTCCCGTTGTTACGACACGGGTTCACCAGGCAGGGGTCGCGACCTGCGGACAGAAAACATCGCAATAAATATGGTTATTATCGGGTAACTATGAGAGGAGGTGGACAAACAGACCCAAACAAAACGGCTCTGATTTCTCCAGAGGATCAATACGTCTTAATCTGCTCTTAGAACTGATCAATAAATACCTGAATAAATCAATGTGCTGATGATTTATTCTGCTGGTTCAAGAAGTACAAACCACCTTAAGGACGGAATAGAGAAATACTCACGTTCATACGTCAGCCAGAATTTTTTCTGCAAAGATAAAAACATATTTTATTAAACTATACTGACCATAAGAAGGCGTTTAAGACTTTTTCCATCTGTTTTCATACCAAAGAACTACAAAAAACACACAAAACTACAACATTAGACTCAAAACTACCAAGAAGAGTAAAGTAAATAACCAGAATCAAATCACAGGTTAGCTTAGCAAAATAATTACAACAAACATGTGTCTGAACTACTTCTGTGTAACCGTTGGTCGTTGGCTATAATTTGGATGAACTTGGTAGGAATATATCAAATAAAACGTTCCTAGAGTACGATAATACAGAGAGTTGGTAAAACCCCATATATCTAGTGAGCGTCTCACCGTGCTGTCCTCGTCCTCGAACACCTCCCTCGCCTCCTCGTAGGAACAGATTTCCTCGATGCACTCTCGCTCCAGGTTTCCCTGTTTCAGCTCCTCCAGGAAGCCGCTGTTGGCTCGACGCCATCTTTGAAGCACGATGTTCGCCTGCTGCTTCTCCAAAAACACTATTAAACATATTATTATTACATCCTGTCAGGACCTGCTGCCTCTCAACGAACACTACAGAACATTATATTATTATTAACTACTGGAAACACCTGGAAATAGCTGTTAGCATAGCATCAGGTTAGCATCAGGTTAGCATCATAGAAGATTACTGAACGCTCCTCTGAGCCTCTGATGACAGTTACGGCTAATATCTTCTGTTGGGAAGTCGCCAATATACACAAGTAGTTCACGGCGACACCACCAGAAAGAGACTCAAAACGTTCAAAATACTTTAAAAAAAGGATGTTAAAATAGAGACATCCTTAAAGTAAAACAAAGCTAACAAAAAAAAAAAAAATACAAAAAACCCAGGAAACTACAAAGAAAAACAGAAAACCACAAAAAAAACTGAAAACTACAAAAAAAACTGAAAACTACAAAAAAAACTGAAAACCACAAAAAAAACTGAAAACTACAAAAAAAACTGAAAACCACAAAAAACTACTGAAAACTACAAAAAGAAACAACAACAATTAAAACAACCATAGAGTCGTAAAAACATACCAAAAACAGACGTGAAAGAGATGAACATGTAATATAAAAAACAACTACAATAAAGAAACATAAAATTAGCAAATAGACGTCTCTGTTAAAATACTAAGAGACGCAGAACTACCAAAAAAACTGAAAAAAGTTGTTTTTTTACGTTGACATACAGCTAACATGCTAACATGCTAACACCACATCTATATGTTACTGGCCGTTTCTCAATGTTGAGTATACCTGCTGCAGAGCCACTATTTCAAGTATACTACGTCATCGAGCGGCGCCGAATGCTGGGCATTTAAACATGCTAACCTCCCGTCTGTATGAACCTGTCTGTCATGCTAACACCATGCTAACATGCTAACATCCCGTCTGTATGTACCTGCCTGTCATGCTAACATGCTACGGTGTGTTTCCTGTTTACCTGCAGCCTGAGAGAGGCCGATCAGCAGAAAGCAGACGCTCCTCTCAAACATCGTGATGTGTTCACTGTCTCCTCTAAACCCAGACTAAAGAGCTTTTATCTCCACCAGGTCAGTGAACACACCTCCACCTGACCTTTGACCCTTTGCTATCTGCTGAAAACTCTGATGAAGTCTGATTTCTATAAATGCTATATACATGTAATGTATTTTTATTATTATTTAATACTCATGTATTTATTTAGGATTAATTCCCGCTCCATGTGGTACACGTATAAGTACACAAACTATAGAGTATTTTCTGCAGTAAAAGTACATATTTATCAGAGAGGCACGATTACACAATAAGTAAATACTGCAGATGGAGGAGGAACACGTGTTTATTTACTCATGAATCTGAGCTTTATATCCTCCGTTTATTATCAGATAACTGAGCAGGACTTCTTTCTGCAAACATCCTACAGTTTTTAGACAAAATGTGCTTTATTTCAGACGGACACAAATCTGAAAGTTCTTAGTGACATATTAATTTCTGCCTGTGTCCTACAGAAGGCTACGTTTCTACACATCATCAAACAGAGATATAATAAACTAAGTCTAATGTTCTTTAATACGAAAGGAACAGAGAAACCCTGCATATTTAACTTTTGTTTTGTATTTTTACTCTAAAGATGGATTATTATTACGGTGCGTTCAGGGTCACGTTCTGGTTCCCCGGCGGTGCTTTCAGGGTCACGCTGTGGTTCCCCGGCGGTGCGTTCAGGGTCACGATCTGGTTCCCCGGTGGTGCGTTTAGGGTCATGTTCTGGTTCTCTTGCGGTGCGTTCAGGGCCCTGGTGTGGTTGTGTATCCAGGGCAGGAAGTTGGACACGCGGGTGTAGATGCCGTAGTTCCCGGGCCGAGCGCAGCCCCGCCCCCAGCTCACGATGCCCAATAGGAAGGTGGTCCGGTGGTACTGAGTGACCAATGGGCCGCCGCTGTCTCCTTTACACGAGTCCTGGCGACCCTCGATGTAGCCGGCGCAGAACATGTTAGCCGTTAGCTTCACGCCGCTCTGCTCCTCGCACTGCTGCGTCCGGATCCTCGGCACCTGAAGTGAGGAAGAGATTTATTTGTTTCCTTCATGGTATGCACAACTTCATATATAACAATTATTTACAAAACATGTCTCTAGTTTACAGTGTTTAACACCATACCTGCCCCTTTCTAGAAAAAATAAACAAATAATAATAATCATAATAATAGTAATAGCCACCTTCAGGCGCCGCAGGACGTTAGAGGTCGGCCCGTTCTCGGCGCGCCGCCCCCAGCCGCTCACCGTGTGCTCGCTCACCGCCCACAGCTCGCGCTCTGCCAGCGAACGCGTGGGCAGGCAGGCGGGTACGGCGTACACAGAGAAGACGACGGCCGAAGATAGCTTCAGCAGCGCGATGTCGTTATCCGCCGTGTGCTTCACGTAGCCCTCGTGCATCAAGATCTGAGACACCGAGATCAGCTGCTCCGTGCCCTCCGACACCGCCGTGTTGTGCTCGCCTGCAAAAACACAACGAGAGGAACACGTTTCAATTCTCGTTCATAAGCAGTAACATAACGAGTGCAGTGAAAACTATTGAACTGCCAAAGCTCATTTCTGGAGTTCAACACATAAAACAGATGTAGAAACAATAACACACACTAACACTACAGTTGACTCTACATAGAGGGAAAACAACACGTTTTCTTGTGTTGCCCAGTGGTTGAGAACTGCTGTAAACATCAACAATAATATAGCCTTTCTAACCTCACTTAATTAATAATCTGCTGTCGGAGGAAACACAAAGCAAGAACTGGTTCTGGTTTCTAGAACTGTAGATTTCTCAGGTGTTGGTATCAACCACTCAGTCAGTAGTTTGTACCTGCGACCACTTTGAGGAACTGGACCTCGGTGTCCTCTATGCAGTGAGAGGCTGTGAGGATCCAGAAGGGTTTAAAGATCACTCCTCCACAGAACCCTTTCCCTTTGTACACCAGCAGAACCTGAGGAACAACAGGAACAGTATCTGATTAACGATGAACACACTCAGAGTTTCTATCAGGACAGAAAACATGGATCTAATGGCGCGTTTCCACTACAGCCCGCAGCCCGGTTTAAGAGGGCTGTGACGTCAGCGGCCCGTCTTTGGTTGCGTTTCCACTTGGCCTAGTACCGGCCGGCGGGTCCTAATTCACAGTTTTTCTGGCCTCATAAAATCGTGGGTCTAGGGCCAGAGGCAACGAGGCTGAGTCGGGCTGAGTATGCTAAACTAGAGAGAGCATCGCTGGCAAGGGGGCTACAACTACAACAAGATGGACATATTTGACCATGATTTAATTGTAATACACGTTTCAAAATGATGAAGTAACAACATACTGATACCGGTTAGTAAAAACCATGAATTAATGCTTTGTCAAGTCTGCAGACAGACGGCAGGCGAGACACCTTTTAAAATGCTTGTTTTCTAAATGGAGATTGGCTAAGCTAACGCAGTATATGCTCCGACCGTCCACACTCACAACAACGGCCTATACAGACATAAATAAAGCAGCGACTGTATTCTCCATGACACAGGCAGTCTGTGGTTTGTACTTGTTTAACTTTTGTCTAGTTTCTGAACATATATGAGGAGCTGTGAGCTCTGAGTGCTAACAGCTAACGGCTGTGTTGTTTTTCTGGGGTCCTCTGAAGATCACGTCACGGCTCCGCCTACACTGCGTTACTATAGATACTGCCCCAGTTCCTAAACTGTAATGGAAATGCGCCATAAAGTGAGCCAGTCCTAACGAGGCCCAGCCATACCGAGCGGGGCCGAGCGAGGCCGTGTAGTGGAAACGCAACATTAGTCCCTGATTCTGTTTCTCTTGACTCAGTTTGACCTGTGTGTTATCAGGTGACCTCGAGGGTCTCCAACAGATTCTGGTTCTGACAGGTTACAGGGTTAAAGTCCAGTTGTGTAACTCTGGGATCCCCCCGCTCAGAGAAGGACAGATTACAAGGTTAGCAGTAAATGGTGTACTGTCCCTTTAATGCAACCTACCTGCCAGGGGCATTCCCCTTTCGGACAGTCTTCCCCCCCGACGATCCGGGCCCGGGGGTCCTGCTCCGTCTTGTTTCCCCCGAGCAGAACCGGAACCATGCCACACGCTATGGCCTCTGAAACATCCAGAAAACACGTTGATTTGTTTCATAAAACAGCTGATATTATTCGGATCTTTAAAAAAACATTACATTGTGCATTAAAACTGTAGAGGTAAATGTGGCGTCCCGCAGGGATCTACCCTGGGGCCTCTGTTTACATTTTAAAATGTTGATGTTAAACGTCTACCTTTCGCGACGCAGTTCCGCCCGTCGTCATGCAGGAAGTATCCATCGGCACAGGAGCACTTCAGTCTTCGTCCTTCCTCGTCTTCATCACAGAAATGCTCACAGCCTCCGTTCTGCAGCAGACAGGTGTCCAGCACCGAACTCCTCTCTGCAACACAGGGACAAGCAGTTTCATATTTCTGTTTCAGCCCCAAATAAATCTGATTTAACTCTCACGTTTCATCCCGTAGCTCCACATCTTATTGTGTGTTTCTCACCCAGCTCACAGGTGAGTCCGCTGAAGTTTGGGAGGCAGAAGCAGGTGAAGGAGGAACCCTGAGGAGAGCAGCTGCCTCCGTTCAGACACGGACCAGAAACACACACCTCCGCTACTACACACAGGTAACACACAGGTAACACACACAGGTAACACACAGGTAACCACACAGGTAACACAACAGGAAATAACAGTTAACACACACAGGTAACACACACAGGTAACACACACAGGTAACACACATGTAACACATGCCCGGCGCCGTGGGAGGGCCAGGGAGGGCCAGGCCCTCCCATTTGACATTCCTGCCCTCCCCCAATAAACAAGTTTTTTATTATTTATCAATTTTTTTTTTTTAAAAGATCTTTATTTTTTTAATTATAAATAAACTGAACTTTTATGCTACGATGTATGTGATGTCAGATAGTAACTAAAAAAAAAATCGCAGGCTACGTCAAATAAATTCATGTGTCTGTTGTGATTTGTGATTCGTCCACATTTAGACCAATCACAGCGTCACACTCTGCCGCCTATTCTGGATTTGTTTATTGTGCATTCTGTAGACTCCCATTTCTGTTTGAATTACAAAATGGACATCAGAAATTGGCTTAAAAGGTCTAAGGATTTATTAAAACGAAATAGCGATGAAAGAACTGCAGCCGATGGTGCTGCTGGCGACCCTGCACCTGCCGTTGCAGCAGCACGCCTTAATGTCACAAGCTTGACCTCGGCAAACCCCGGGGCTGAGTTAGCGAGCCCAATCCTTGACTCATCAAGGCGGCCGCCACCAACGCTGTCCTCCGAGGCACAGCTCCTTGTGCCCCTACCATCACCACCTGCGTTGCCACACCCTGTACCACACCCGCCAGCATCCTCCTCCTCCGTGCCGGTGCCTCCACTACAGACGCTACCTTGCCTTACCTTACCTTACCTTATCAACAGGTACTATTGGTACGCTCAAAGACCAACAGCCCCAGATGATCTTGGGGTTAATAAACCCAACCAGGTGAAACTGGATCGTTATTCAGAGAGATTGTTTTCAGGAAAGAAGCACACTGTTGCCACTGCATGGTACAACAGACCATGGCTTGAATATTCGCTAAAAGCAGACGCAGCCTTTTGTTTCCCCTGTAGACAGTTTAAAGTAAATACGTCTTCATCTGATGCGGCTTTTACTGTCAAAGGTTTTTGCGACTGGAAACCCGCATTACAGACTGATAAAGGACTGCTAAGACATGCCGCATCAAAAGAACACATTTCATGTGAGAGTTTGTGGAGAGAGAGACAGATACGCGAGGAAACAAATAAGGAAATTAGTACTTTGGTGCACACAGATCAGCTGGCACGGAACCGTTATTACGTGTCAGCTGTCGTTGATATTATAGCTTTTTTAGCTGTCAACCAACTCCCTCTCAGAGGTGACCACGATTCACTCCACAGCATGTCCGAGTCAGGCAGTGGGCTCTTCCTATCGCTGTTTGAGTATACGCTGCACAAAGATGCAGAGTTGGCCTTGCTGTTTGATATATATTGTGCCGCAGGCCCGCAGCACATGACGGTTTTGTGTGCCCTCCCATGAAAATCATATGCCCTCCCTTTAGATTTGTTCTGGCGCCGGGTCTGATGTAACACACAGGTAACACACAGGTAACTCACAGGTAACTCACAGGTAACACAACAGGAAATAACAGTTAACACACACAGGTAATACACAGGTAACACACATGTAACACACAGGTAATACACAGGTAATACACAGGTAACACACAGGTAACACACAGGTAACACACATTAAAAATAGTGCTGAGTCATGAGAGAAACCAGGTTTAAAGACATTAAATAATAAGGTGTTTTCTTACGGGTATACGTCCTCCAGAACTCGTCCTGAGACACAGAGAGGAATAGATTTAATATTGATCACTAAATGTAAATCTGATGTAATCTGAGTGAGTTCTGACCGTGGTCTCGGTGTGTTCGAACACCTCCCTCGCCTCCTCGTAGGAGCACTTCTCCTCCAGACACTCTCTCTTCAGATCACCCATCTGCAGCTCCTCCAACCAGCCGGAGTTATACCTCTTGACCCGCAGCACACTGTGGGCGGGGCCTGGGTCCAGGAACACTGAGGAGGCATGAGTCAGCACTATCACTGAGGAGGCATGAGTCAGCACTATCACTGAGGAGGCATGAGTCAGCACTATCAGAGGAGACATGAGTCAGCACTATCAGAGGAGACATGAGTCAGCACTATCACTGAGGAGGCATGAGTCAGCACTACCAGAGGAGACATGAGTCAGCACTATCAGAGGAGACATGAGTCAGCACTATCTCTGAGGAGGCATGAGTCAGCACTATCAGAGGAGACATGAGTCAGCACTATCAGAGGAGACATGAGTCAGCACTATCAGAGGAGAGATGAGTCAGCACTATCAGAGGAGACATGAGTCAGCACTATCAGAGGAGACATGAGTCAGCACTATGAGAAACACTGAGGAGGCATGAGTCAGCACTATCAGAGGAGACATGAGTCAGCACTATCTCTGAGGAGGCATGAGTCAGCACTATCAGAGGAGACATGAGTCAGCACTATCAGAGGAGACATGAGTCAGCACTATCAGAGGAGAGATGAGTCAGCACTATCACTGAGGAGGCATGAGTCAGCACTATCAGAGGAGACATGAGTCAGCACTATGAGAAACACTGAGGAGGCATGAGTCAGCACTATCAGAGGAGACATGAGTCAGCACTATGAGAAACACTGAGGAGGCATGAGTCAGCACTATCAGAGGAGGCATGAGTCAGCACTATCAGAGGAGACATGAGTCAGCACTATCAGAGGAGACATGAGTCAGCACTATCAGAGGAGACATGAGTCAGCACTATCAGAGGAGACATGAGTCAGCACTATCAGAAGAGACATGAGTCAGCACTATCAGAGGAGACATGAGTCAGCACTATCAGAGGAGACACGAGTCAGCACTATCAGAGGAGGCACGAGTCAGCACTATCAGAGGAGACACGAGTCAGCACTATCAGAAGAGACACGAGTCAGCACTATCAGAGGAGGCACGAGTCAGCACTATCAGAGGAGACATGAGTCAGCACTATCAGAGGAGACATGAGTCAGCACTATCAGAGGAGAGATGAGTCAGCACTATCACTGAGGAGGCATGAGTCAGCACTATCAGAGGAGACATGAGTCAGCACTATGAGAAACACTGAGGAGGCATGAGTCAGCACTATCAGAGGAGACATGAGTCAGCACTATGAGAAACACTGAGGAGGCATGAGTCAGCACTATCAGAGGAGGCATGAGTCAGCACTATCAGAGGAGACATGAGTCAGCACTATCAGAGGAGACATGAGTCAGCACTATCAGAGGAGACATGAGTCAGCACTATCAGAGGAGACATGAGTCAGCACTATCAGAAGAGACATGAGTCAGCACTATCAGAGGAGACATGAGTCAGCACTATCAGAGGAGACACGAGTCAGCACTATCAGAGGAGGCACGAGTCAGCACTATCAGAGGAGACACGAGTCAGCACTATCAGAAGAGACATGAGTCAGCACTATCAGAGGAGACATGAGTCAGCACTATCAGAGGAGACATGAGTCAGCACTATCAGAGGAGACATGAGTCAGCACTATCAGAGGAGGCACGAGTCAGCACTATCAGAGGAGACACGAGTCAGCACTATCAGAAGAGACATGAGTCAGCACTATCAGAGGAGACATGAGTCAGCACTATCAGAGGAGACATGAGTCAGCACTATCAGAGGAGACATGAGTCAGCACTATCAGAGGAGGCACGAGTCAGCATGAGAATCAGTAAATACGTCAGTAAATCACCTACTGGTGGATTTAGAAACGGAGGTTGCGTTAGCTACCTTTAGCTTAGCGGATGTGACGTCATGTGACCGTGCTGCTTTGCCAGCTGTACCTTGATGCTACCCATGCTAACAGGCTAAACCCCCCTCTGCGTACTTCCTGTAATCAGAGTCTGACAGGTCGTCCTCACCTGAAGCCGCCCGGCAGCCGGAGACGCTGAAGACGAAGATGAAGAAGACTCTGAGCTTCATGGTTCATCAGACAGGAGCCTCTCTGTGGAGCAAATGGAGATCCAGAGTCCACCCCCCCCCCTCTCTGTGGAGCTAATGCAGGTCCAGAGTCCACCCCCCCCCCCCCCCTCTCTGTGGAGCTAATGCAGGTCCAGAGTCCACCCCCCCCCCCAAACAGCATCGATTACATGTCCCAATGACACAGAGCCACCAACCAGCTGCTGTTTGCCTTCAGTCCGTCAGGAGGTCAGGAGCATCTGAGACCTTTCACATGCTTTCTGATTGATTCTGATGTAACTCTTCTGCATGATGAAGAATGATACATATATTTATTTATATTATATTTATATTTGAAAGAACATAAATACAAACATCAGCAGCGTCAGTAACAGTTTTATTTTTGTACATGAAGAATAATCAACGTTATCACATCTCAGCGTCTCGGGTTAGAAATCAAGCTTCTGGAACAAGGACATACTATATTCAATCTGTGTAGCATTAGCATTAGCTTCTGGAACAAGGACATACTATATTCAATCTGTGTAGCATTAGCATTAGCTTCTGGAACAAGGACATACTATATTCAATCTGTGTAGCATTAGCATTAGCTTCTGGAACAAGGACATACTATATTCAATCTGTGTAGCATTAGCATTAGCTTCTGGAACAAGGACATACTATATTCAATCTGTGTAGCATTAGCATTAGCTTCTGGAACAAGGACATACTATATTCAATCTGTGTAGCATTAGCATTAGCATTAGCTTCTGGAACAAGGACATACTATATTCAATCTGTGTAGCATTAGCATTAGCTTCTGGAGCAAGGACATACTATATTCAATCTGTGTAGCATTAGCATTAGCTTCTGGAACAAGGACATACTATATTCAATCTGTGTAGCATTAGCATTAGCATTAGCTTCTGGAACAAGGACATACTATATTCAATGTGAGTAGCATCTAGAATAAGTAGGTGTTTAATCTGTAGCATTAGCTCCTTTAATAATGGCGTTCTGTTTTAATGTAGCTTTAGCCTCTGGAACTAGGACATACTATATTCAATCTGTGTAGCATTAGCATTAGCTTTAGCTTCTGTTAGCCTCTCTGATGACGCTCTCGATCCAGCCCAGGAAGTTGCTGACCCTGGAGTAGACCCCGTACAGGTTCCTGTTGGCGCACCCCTTCCCCCAGCTCACCACGCCCGTCAGGAACCACGTCTTCTTGTAGCGGGTGACCAGGGGCCCGCCGCTGTCGCCCTCACAGGCGTCGCTGCCGCCCGCCTTCAGCCCGGCACACAGCATGTTCTTAGTGATGGTCAGATTGCTGTGCAGACGGCACTCCTGCAGAGGGACTCTCGGGAGAACCAGACGCTGAAGAACTCCGGCTGCCGGGCCTCGTTGAGCAACTCGACCCCATCCGGACACCGTGGACTCTCTGACGCTGGCCAGAGTCCGGCTGAAGGACGAATTCCTGGCAGGCAGACAGACGGGCACCACATAGGGTCCTAGCTTCACGGGCCTCTGCAGCTTCAGCAGCGCCATGTCACTGTCAGAGCTCGACTTGTTGTAGGCGTGGTGGATCACGACCTTCACAACGCGCCGCCGCTGCTCCGTGCGCTCCTCCACGTTCAGGTCGTGCTCACCTGCACGGAAACAACACCATTAGTTTACCTGTGGTTACTATCAATCTGACACACCACTACAGAAACACCACTGGTACAGATCACTTTTCAATCGGGCACAAAGACAGAATTCGGCATACGACAGAATGAAAAGACATGATAATCCATAGAATATGTAATTAAAGGTAGAGGACTAAGAACCGATCTTACCGACGGTGACGTTGAAGAAGTGGGCCGGTTTCCTCCAGACGCAGTGAGCTGCCGTTAACACCCAGCGGTTAGAGAGGATGATCGCTCCACAGGTGAAGACGTTACGCTCCGTCAGCAGCGCCTGAGAGGAGACAGTTAGACACTCAGGACATGAGATACCACAGTCTTAGTCTGAAAGTTATTATATAATCGTACCTGCCAGGGACACTGTCCTTTGGGGCAGTTCTTCCCGTTGATCACCCTGGGGCTGAAGAACCACTGAGGTCGTCCACAGGCCACCTTGTCTGATCGGAGACACAAAGAGACGTTAATGTAAACACAAACTAACCCCTGACCAGGGTTTGTATCAACACTGGGTTTAAATTAAGGATATCTAAGTAACGAAGGTGATTTCAGAACCCAAAGACCAAGATGGGGACAACCTAAACTGGACCCCCACTAGAGAACGTATTATCTTTACAAATATACAGCGTTTTTCTTTCCAGAAGTCTGAATTAGCCAAAGACCAAGACGGTTGTTGGACGTCAACATCTTGGTCCAAAAAACGAAGCAGTTGACGACTAAAAACCAAGATGGCAACGACCAAGACGATAACGGCCAAAGATAGAACTCCACTAGAGACTGTCTTTAAACTAAGAACTGTTGCTTCCAGAAGTCTGAAGTAACACTTGTTCAGACCTTGGGGTTCGCAGCTGCTGTTGTCCGGATGCAGTCGGTACCCCGGAGCGCAGAAACACACCGTAGATCGATCCGGAAACGCTTTACAGAAATGTTCACAGCCTCCGTTCCCGTAGCGGCAGCCATTGGACGTCTGGCGAACTGTGGAGAGAAAGAGGAAACGGGAAGACGTTCAGAAGATACAAACACTGGAGATCGATTGTTGCTCCGAGACTTTCTGACTCAGCAGAACCTGAGAGCCTCCAATAACATCATCTGGGACCCAAAGCATGCTCTGACAGAGAATCAGAACTGCTACCATCTGATGGAGATCACTAAAGTCAGCCTGAAGCATCCTCTGTGCTCCAGTCAGCCTGAAGCATCCTCTGTGCTCCAGTCAGCCTGAAGCATCCTCTGTGCTCCAGTCAGCCTGAAGCATCCTCTGTGCTCCAGTCAGTCCTCTCAGTGAACACAGAGCTACAGATCAGATGCACGCTGAAGCTCTTTGAGCAGCTCTCATGGAGCTGCTGTGATGTTACACACGGAGCTGCTGTGATGTTACACACGGAGCTGCTGTGATGTTCCTCACGGAGCTGCTGTGATGTTACACACGGAGCTGCTGTGATGTTACACACGGAGCTGTGATGTTCCTCACGGAGCTGCTGTGATGTTACACACGGAGCTGTGATGTTACACACGGAGCTGCTGTGATGTTACACACGGAGCTGTGATGTTACACACGGAGCTGTGATGTTACACACGGAGCTGTGATGTTCCTCACGGAGCTGCTGTGATGTTCCTCACGGAGCTGCTGTGATGTTCCTCACGGAGCTGCTGTGATGTTACACACGGAGCTGTGATGTTACACACGGAGCTGCTGTGATGTTACACACGGAGCTGTGATGTTACACACGGAGCTGCTGTGATGTTACACACGGAGCTGTGATGTTACACACGGAGCTGTGATGTTACACACGGAGCTGTGATGTTACACACAGAGCTGCTGTGATGTTCCTCACGGAGCTGCTGTGATGTTACACATGGAGCTGTGATGTTACACACGGAGCTGCTGTGATGTTACACACGGAGCTGCTGTGATGTTACACACGGAGCTGTGATGTTACACACGGAGCTGTGATGTTACACACGGAGCTGCTGTGATGTTCCTCACGGAGCTGCTGTGATGTTACACACGGAGCTGCTGTGATGTTACACACGGAGCTGTGATGTTACACACGGAGCTGTGATGTTACACACGGAGCTGCTGTGATGTTCCTCACGGAGCTGCTGTGATGTTACACATGGAGCTGCTGTGATGTTCCTCACGGAGCTGCTGTGATGTTACACACGGAGCTGTGATGTTACACACGGAGCTGTGATGTTACACACGGAGCTGCTGTGATGTTACACACGGAGCTGTGATGTTACACACGGAGCTGCTGTGATGTTCCTCACGGAGCTGCTGTGATGTTACACATGGAGCTGCTGTGATGTTCCTCACGGAGCTGCTGTGATGTTACACACGGAGCTGTGATGTTACACACGGAGCTGCTGTGATGTTACACACGGAGCTGCTGTGATGTTCCTCACGGAGCTGCTGTGATGTTACACACGGAGCTGCTGTGATGTTACACATGGAGCTGTGATGTTACACACGGAGCTGCTGTGATGTTATACATGGAGCTGCTGTGATGTTACACACGGAGCTGTGATGTTACACACGGAGCTGCTGTGATGTTACACACGGAGCTGTGATGTTACACACGGAGCTGCTGTGATGTTACACACGGAGCTGTGATGTTACACACGGAGCTGTGATGTTACACACGGAGCTGCTGTGATGTTCCTCACGGAGCTGCTGTGATGTTCCTCACGGAGCTGCTGTGATGTTACACATGGAGCTGCTGTGATGTTACACATGGAGCTGCTGTGATGTTCCTCACGGAGCTGCTGTGATGTTACACACATGGAGCTGCTGTGATGTTCCTCACGGAGCTGCTGTGATGTTACACATGAGCTGCTGTGATGTTACACACTGGAGCTGCGGTGATGTTACACACGTGGAGCTGCTGTGATGTACACAATGGAGCTGCTGGAGGTTACACCGGAGCTGTTGATGTTACACACGGAGCTGCTGTGATGTTACACATGGCAGCGAGCTGGTGATGTTACTAACGGAGCTGCTGTGATGTTCACATGGAGCTGCTGTGATGTTACCTCACGAAGCTGCTGTGATGTTAACACGGAGCTGCTGTGATGTTCCGATTTCCGCTCACGGAGCTGCCTGTGAATGTTACACACCCGGAGCTGCTGTATGTTACACTCACGGAGCTGCGGTATGTTACACAGCGGAAGCTGATTGAAGGTTACAACACACGGAGATGCTGTGATTTTACACACGGAGCTGTGATGTTACACACGGAGCTGCTGTGATGTACACACGGAAGACTGCTGTGATGTTACACCCGGAGCTGCTGTGATGTTCCTCACGGAGCTGCTGTGATGTTCCACACGGAGCTGCTGTGATGTTACACACGGAGCTGTGATGTTACACACGGAGCTGCTGTGATGAGTTACCACACGGAGAGCTGTGATGTTACAACGGAGCTGCGTGATGTAAACACGGAGATGTGCTGTGATGTTACACCACGGAGCTGTTGATGTTACACACGGAGCTGTGAGTTACACACGGAGCTGCTGTGATAGTTACACACGGAGCTGTTGATGGTTTACACACGAGCTGCTGTGATGTTTACACACGGAGCTGCTGTTGTGATGTTCCTCACGGAGCTGCTGTTATTTTCAACACGGAGCTGCTGTTTTTGATGTTACACACGGAGCTGCGTGATGTTCTCACGGAGCTTGCTGTTATGGTAACACACGGAAGCTGTGATGTTACACACGGAGCTGTGATGTTACACACGGAGCTGTGATGTTACACACGGAGCTGTGATGTTACACACGGAGCTGCTGTGATGTTACACACGGAGCTGCTGTGATGTTCCTCACGGAGCTGCTGTGATGTTACACACGGAGCTGCTGTGATGTTACACACGGAGCTGTGATGTTACACACGGAGCTGCTGTGATGTTACACACGGAGCTGTGATGTTACACACGGAGCTGCTGTGATGTTACACACGGAGCTGCTGTGATGCAAGGAGCATTTCAGGCTTCATCTGACCATTAAAGTATTATCGTTATCGTATCGTACGGACGTACCTTTGTCGCAGTGGTGACCGTGGAACTTGGGCGGACATTTGCAGCTGTAGGAGTCGAGGTGACGAGTGCATGAGGCGCCGTTCTTACAGGGCGACGACTGGCAGTGATCCACCGCTGCAGACAGGAAGTACAGGGACAGGAAGTACAGTTTCAGGGACAGGAAGTACAGGGACAGGGACAGGAAGTACAAGGACAGGAAGTACAGTTTCAGGGACAGGAAGTACAGGGACAGGAAGTACAGTTTCAGGGACAGGAAGTACAGGGACAGGAAGTACAAGGACAGGAAGTACAGTTTCAGGGACAGGAAGTACAGGGACAGGAAGTACAGTTTCAGGGACAGGAAGTACAGGACTTCAGGGAGTAACAGTGACCCGAAGTACATTATAACCCGACCTGTGTAGCGCCTCCAGAAAGCTTCCTGCGTAGAGAAAGAAACATCGTTAGCGTCTGAAACTTAACTAGATGAAAACATCGTAAAGTTGGCGACATAAAAACATTGTAAAGTTAGCCACATAAAAAAATCGTAAAGTTATCGTCAGAAACTTAACGAGATAAAAACATTGTGAAGTCATCGTCAGAAACTTCAGAAGATAAAAACATCGTGAAAACGTAACGAGATAAAACATCGTAAAGTCATCGTGTTCTCACCAGCTGTTGCGGCAGAGCGTAGATTTCCTTCGCCTCTTCGTACGAACATTTCTCTTCGTAACACTCGCGCTCCACGTTGCCGCGCCGCAGCTCCTCGAACAGATAATTAGCGCGCCGCGCGCGGTGCAGGAAGACACTAGCCTCGGGGCGGCTAACAAACACATCGCCTTTATTACAAACACAGAAGAAGAAGAGGAGGTGGACTGAAGGGTTAGGATCTAAACCAATAACAATAACATGGTTTTATTTTGGTAGTTGGTACGTTAGCCTTATGTTGCTCTTTGTCAATTGTGAGATTATTCATTTTTTTCTTAGTTACATTTATGTAATATTTAGCAGTTTTGTTCGGACGTTACTTTTTGAATCTGTTGTCTCCTTGGTCGCCCTTTTCACGGATGGGTCTAGCTAGCTTTTTACTCTAAGTTGACAACAATTCAGATATCTTATGCTAAGCTAACAATAGTGCTAATGCTGGAACATTAAACCTGACCTTTGTTTCAACAGGAACCTCCGAAAAGCTCGATGGTTACGTGAGCTAACATGCTAACGTAGCTCAAAGCAGCAGCAGAGGAGAGAGGATTTACAAGAAGAAGAAGAAGAAGAAGAAGAAGAAGAAGAAGAAGAAGAAGAAGAAGAAGAAGAAGAAGAAGAAGACTGACCTCCAGGGAGCCCAGTGCATGCTGGGATAGCGACGATGAGGAGGAAGAAGAGTCGGCTGGTGTCTGAGTGGACGGACGCCATGTTTGATCTGATCAAAGGTCAGAAAAACACAAACGCTGAGAGTCGCTCTGAGCACACAAGTCCTGAAAACTCTGAAACCCCCACTCTTTACATTCATTTAAAATACTTTCTCCTTTCTTTAGAGTCTCAGCTTTTCTCCTGATGTTTCACGTTTATTTAAAGAAGGATAAATGGACACTTTAAACACATCTTTCAAACAAAAGAATATATTATATTTAATGTATACCACCTTAGTGTTCATATCAGATATACATCACATGATGTCCTCAATGCGTAGTGTTCAGATATACATCACATGATGTCCTCAATGCTTAGTGTTCAGATATACATCACATGATGTCCTCAATGCTTAGTGTTCAGATATACATCACATGATGTCCTCAATGCTTAGTGTTCAGATATACATCACATGATGTTCTCAATGCTTAGTGTTCAGATATACATCACATGATGTCCTCAATGCTTAGTGTTCAGATATACATCACATGATGTCCTCAATGCTTAGTGTTCAGATATACATCACATGATGTCCTCAATGCTTAGTGTTCAGATATACATCACATGATGTTCTCAATGCTTAGTGTTCAGATATACATCACATGATGTCCTCAATGCTTAGTGTTCAGATATACATCACATGATGTCCTCAATGCTTAGTGTTCAGATATACATCACATGATGTTCTCAATGCTTAGTGTTCAGATATACATCACATGATGTTCTCAATGCTTAGTGTTCAGATATACATCACATGATGTCCTCAATGCTTAGTGTTCAGATATACATCACATGATGTTCTCAATGCTTAGTGTTCAGATATACATCACATGATGTCCTCAATGCTTAGTGTTCAGATATACATCACATGATGTCCTCAATGCTTAGTGTTCAGATATACATCACATGATGTTCTCAATGCTTAGTGTTCAGATATACATCACATGATGTCCTCAATGCTTAGTGTTCAGATATACATCACATGATGTCCTCAATGCTTAGTGTTCAGATATACATCACATGATGTCCTCAATGCTTAGTGTTCAGATATACATCACATGATGTTCTCAATGCTTAGTGTTCAGATATACATCACATGATGTCCTCAATGCTTAGTGTTCAGATATACATCACATGATGTCCTCAATGCTTAGTGTTCAGATATACATCACATGATGTCCTCAATGCTTAGTGTTCAGATATACATCACATGATGTCCTCAATGCTTAGTGTTCAGATATACATCACATGATGTCCTCAATGCTTAGTGTTCAAATATACATCACATGATGTCCTCAATGCTTAGTGTTCAGATATACATCACATGATGTCCTCAATGCTTAGTGTAATGGCATCCAAGGTTTCCTTTGATGCCACTATAGAGCGGGGTTGACGACACGCAATCCAGAGCAATAAGCAGCCGAAGGTTTTCAGTCAAAAAATGTAATTTATTAACAAAAAAGGTATTGACTTAAATAGTCTCAAAATAACAAATCTAACTAATAATTTCGGCGATATACTTTCCTATATAAACTATACTTTGCAGTCCAATTTGCAACACTAATTTCATTTACAATTTGCGGTCGAAAAACTGTTCCGCTCCCCGTCTCATCAGGTCTCAGAGCACCGCGGCTGTCCTCAATTACCTCACTTAAATAAACACCGGAAGGTACAAGGAAACAGATCATATTTACGATTTAAAATAAACAATCATTTCATCAAAAGATATTCACCATGGCAATATAAATCATTTTACATCATTAATTCATTTATCAAATTATGAATCTAAATAATAACTTTGACTTCATTGTGGCTCTAACACTTAGTGTTCAAATATACATCACATGATGTCCTCAATGCTTAGTGTTCAGATATACATCACATGTGTAGTAGTAATATTCTACCTATTGATTCCTTTTTCTACAACATTTAAAAGTTAAAAAACACTGAAATAATATTTTAATTATTATATTTAAAATCCAATAAATAATATCTCAGAGACATTTAAATAGATTTAAATAGTCTTTATTTTTAATAATTTAAAAACTCAAACATAAACAAACATAAGCAGAGCAAATCATTTTATTAATACAAAAATAACATTTTATTTCATACATTTTCTGATTAGCTCTGTTGTGATTGGTCAACATCTTAGAGAAGTCCCGCCCCTTAGCCTATCACGTTCAGAGTGTTGGAGCGCCGGCCAATAGGAGCGTGTTATTTGATGTTCTTCAGGATGAGAGGGATGGTCTCTCTGGCGTCTCTAAGCTCCTCTCTCCACTCCTCTGGGACTCCGCCCCCTCTGAATGCCCCCCCCCGCCCCCAGCAGAGCACCCAATGCCGCGCCTCGATTACAGTTCTCACCTGGAGAGAGAAACACAGGTAAGAGACACAAACACAAACACAGGTAAGAGACACAAACACAGGTAAGAGACAAAGGTAGCACACCTGTCCCTGTTTCACTGCTACCTGAACCCGTCTCTGACCTTTCACTGCTACCTGAACCCGTCTCTGACCTTTCACTGCTACCTGAACCCGTCTCTGACCTTTCACTGCTACCTGAACCCGTCTCTGACCTTTCACTGCTACCTGAACCCGTCTCTGACCTTTCACTGCTACCTGAACCCGTCTCTGACCTTCCACTGCTACCTGAACCCGTCTCTGACCTTCCACTGCTACCTGAACCCGTCTCTGACCTTTCCCTGCTACCTGAACCCGTCTCTGACCTTCCACTGCTACCTGAACCCGTCTCTGACCTTCCACTGCTACCTGAACCCGTCTCTGACCTTTCACTGCTACCTGAACCCGTCTCTGACCTTCCACTGCTACCTGAACCCGTCTCTGACCTTTCACTGCTACCTGAACCCGTCTCTGACCTTCCACTGCTACCTGAACCCGTCTCTGACCTTTCAACCACTTTGCTTTTCAAATCCCAGGATTAGGGTATTTAAACCTGACTTTATAGATACAAACACAGGTTAGTGCTCACCTGTAGATACAAACACAGGTTAGTGCTCACCTGTAGATACAAACACAGGTTAGTGCTCACCTGTAGACACAAACACAGGTGACTCATTATAGATTAAATATGATATATATTAAAGAGAGCTGAGACCTCCACAGTTGGTGTTGGTGAGGATTCCTGCTGCCGCGTCGTCGTGGAACTCAAGAGCCAAATAGAAGAGACTGGAGAGAGCGCCTGCAGTACACAGAGGGAATATATATATATGAATATATATATATATATGTATAATAATAATAATAATAACAGTAATGTACCTTTGGTGTAGCAGGCGAGTCCCAGCTGATTAACAGCGCTCTGATGAACCCGGAGACGCTGATCCGACCCAGCAGGGAACCTGACACATAAATAAAATAAATAAAATAAATAAAATAAATTGATGATGATGATGATGATGATGATGATGATAATATATCCACCTTGCTGCCTTGCTGCTGAACCCCCGGCAGGCGTCCCAGGCCTCGAGGCTCTTCAGAGCGCGCTCCGCCTCCCCCCGGATGCTCGCCCCCCCCAGCACCCTGTGGAGCGCCCCGCCGTACAGAGACACCCAGAGGGGCACCCTGGGGTGGGGGTGGGTCAGCTTCACCATCTCCACCGCACCTCGCACCTGGGGGGGGGGGGGCGTGATGACATTCAAAAACCTGTCTTATATTCGGGTGGATACGGTAAATATGAATATGAAGGCAGTCTCACCGCTTGCTCCAGAGGGGCGTGTGCTGCCAGCAGGATGAAGGGGAGGATCATGGGTAAACAGCCGATGGCGTCCAGCTGGGCGTCGGGCCGCGCCGCCCTCAGAGGGCTAACGCTACGCCGCTCCGCAAACTCCAACAGCTGGGAGACAACGAGACAAACACAACGAATAATACAACGAGACAAACACAACGAATAATACAACGAGACAAACACAACGAATAATACAACGAGACAAACACAACGAATAATACAACGAGACAAACACAACTTTAAAAGTAAAATGATAAAAATACGTTAATAAAACAGAGAGACCTGCAGGTGTCCGTGGTGGGTGTGCATGTGTTAGCTTTACCTGACAGGTGCGTTACTACAGGTGCGTTACTACAGGTGCATTACTACAGGTGCGTTACTACAGGTGCATTAGATCTACAGGTGCGTTACTACAGGTGCGTTACTACAGGTGCATTAGATCTACAGGTGCGTTACTACAGGTGCATTAGATCTACAGGTGCGTTACTACAGGTGCGTTACTACAGGTGCGTTACTACAGGTGCATTAGATCTACAGGTGCATTAGATCTACAGGTGCGTTAGATCTACAGGTGCGTTACTACAGGTGCGTTACTACAGGTGTGTTAGATCTACAGGTGCATTACTACAGGTGCGTTACTACAGGTGCATTACTACAGGTGCGTTACTACAGGTGCATTAGATCTACAGGTGCGTTACTACAGCTGCGTTACTACAGGTGCGTTACTACAGGTGCATTACTACAGGTGCGTTACTACAGGTGCATTAGATCTACAGGTGCATTAGATCTACAGGTGCGTTACTACAGGTGCGTTACTACAGGTGCGTTACTACAGGTGTGTTAGATCTACAGGTGCGTTACTACAGGTGCGTTACTACAGGTGCGTTAGATCTACAGGTGCGTTACTACAGGTGCGTTACTACAGGTGCGTTACTACAGGTGCATTAGATCTACAGGTGCGTTACTACAGGTGCGTTACTACAGGTGCATTAGATCTACAGGTGCATTACTACAGGTGCGTTACTACAGGTGCGTTACTACAGGTGCATTAGATCTACAGGTGCATTAGATCTACAGGTGCGTTACTACAGGTGCATTAGATCTACAGGTGCGTTACTACAGGTGCGTTAATACAGGTGCATTAGATCTACAGGTGCGTTACTACAGGTGCGTTACTACAGGTGCGTTAGATCTACAGGTGCGTTACTACAGGTGCGTTACTACAGGTGCGTTAGATCTACAGGTGCGTTACTACAGGTGCGTTAGATCTACAGGTGCGTTACTACAGGTGTGTTAGATCTACAGGTGCGTTACTACAGGTGCGTTAGATCTACAGGTGCGTTACTACAGGTGTGTTAGATCTACAGGTGCGTTACTACAGGTGTGTTAGATCTACAGGTGCGTTACTACAGGTGCGTTACTACAGGTGCGTTAGATCTACAGGTGCGTTACTACAGGTGCGTTACTACAGGTGCGTTACTACAGGTGCATTAGATCTACAGGTGCGTTACTACAGGTGCGTTACTACAGGTGCGTTACTACAGGTGCATTAGATCTACAGGTGCGTTACTACAGGTGCGTTACTACAGGTGCATTAGATCTACAGGTGCATTACTACAGGTGCGTTACTACAGGTGCGTTACTACAGGTGCATTAGATCTACAGGTGCATTAGATCTACAGGTGCATTAGATCTACAGGTGCGTTACTACAGGTGCATTAGATCTACAGGTGCGTTACTACAGGTGCGTTACTACAGGTGCGTTACTACAGGTGCATTAGATCTACAGGTGCATTAGATCTACAGGTGCGTTACTACAGGTGCATTAGATCTACAGGTGCGTTACTACAGGTGCGTTAATACAGGTGCATTAGATCTACAGGTGCGTTACTACAGGTGCGTTACTACAGGTGCGTTAGATCTACAGGTGCGTTACTACAGGTGCGTTACTACAGGTGCGTTAGATCTACAGGTGCGTTACTACAGGTGCGTTAGATCTACAGGTGCGTTACTACAGGTGTGTTAGATCTACAGGTGCGTTACTACAGGTGCGTTAGATCTACAGGTGCGTTACTACAGGTGTGTTAGATCTACAGGTGCGTTACTACAGGTGTGTTAGATCTACAGGTGCGTTACTACAGGTGCGTTACTACAGGTGCGTTAGATCTACAGGTGCGTTACTACAGGTGCGTTACTACAGGTGCGTTACTACAGGTGCATTAGATCTACAGGTGCGTTACTACAGGTGCGTTACTACAGGTGCGTTACTACAGGTGCATTAGATCTACAGGTGCGTTACTACAGGTGCGTTACTACAGGTGCATTAGATCTACAGGTGCATTACTACAGGTGCGTTACTACAGGTGCATTAGATCTACAGGTGCATTAGATCTACAGGTGCATTAGATCTACAGGTGCGTTACTACAGGTGCATTAGATCTACAGGTGCGTTACTACAGGTGCGTTACTACAGGTGCATTAGATCTACAGGTGCGTTACTACAGGTGCGTTACTACAGGTGCATTAGATCTACAGGTGCGTTACTACAGGTGCGTTAGATCTACAGGTGCATTAGATCTACAGGTGCGTTACTACAGGTGCGTTACTACAGGTGCGTTAGATCTACAGGTGCATTAGATCTACAGGTGCATTAGATCTACAGGTGCGTTACTACAGGTGCGTTACTACAGGTGCGTTACTACAGGTGCATTAGATCTACAGGTGCATTAGATCTACAGGTGCGTTACTACAGGTGCGTTACTACAGGTGCGTTAGATCTACAGGTGCATTACTACAGGTGCGTTAGATCTACAGGTGCATTAGATCTACAGGTGCGTTAGATCTACAGGTGCGTTACTACAGGTGCGTTACTACAGGTGCATTAGATCTACAGGTGCATTAGATCTACAGGTGCGTTACTACAGGTGCGTTACTACAGGTGCGTTAGATCTACAGGTGCATTACTACAGGTGCGTTACTACAGGTGCGTTACTACAGGTGCATTAGATCTACAGGTGCGTTAGATCTACAGGTACGTTAGATCTACAGGTGCGTTAGATCTACAGGTGCGTTACTACAGGTGCGTTAGATCTACAGGTGCGTTACTACAGGTGCGTTACTACAGGTGCGTTACTACAGGTGCATTAGATCTACAGGTGCATTACTACAGGTGCCAGGTGCGTTAGATCTACAGGTGCATTAGATCTACAGGTGCGTTACTACAGGTGCGTTAGATCTACAGGTGCATTAGATCTACAGGTGCATTACTACAGGTGCGTTACTACAGGTGCATTAGATCTACAGGTGCATTACTACAGGTGCGTTACTACAGGTGCATTAGATCTACAGGTGCGTTAGATCTACAGGTGCGTTAGATCTACAGGTGCGTTAGATCTACAGGTGCGTTAGATCTACAGGTGCGTTAGATCTACAGGTGCATTAGATCTACAGGTGCGTTACTACAGGTGCGTTAGATCTACAGGTGCATTAGATCTACAGGTGCATTACTACAGGTGCGTTACTACAGGTGCGTTAGATCTACAGGTGCGTTACTACAGGTGCGTTAGATCTACAGGTGCGTTAGATCTACAGGTGCGTTAGATCTACAGGTGCATTAGATCTACAGGTGCGTTACTACAGGTGCGTTAGATCTACAGGTGCGTTACTACAGGTGCGTTAGATCTACAGGTGCATTAGATCTACAGGTGCATTACTACAGGTGCGTTACTACAGGTGCGTTAGATCTACAGGTGCGTTACTACAGGTGCGTTAGATCTACAGGTGCGTTAGATCTACAGGTGCGTTACTACAGGTGCGTTAGATCTACAGGTGCATTAGATCTACAGGTGCATTAGATCTACAGGTGCGTTACTACAGGTGCGTTAGATCTACAGGTGCATTAGATCTACAGGTGCATTACTACAGGTGCGTTACTACAGGTGCGTTAGATCTACAGGTGCATTAGATCTACAGGTGCGTTACTACAGGTGCGTTAGATCTACAGGTGCATTAGATCTACAGGTGCGTTACTACAGGTGCGTTACTACAGGTGCGTTAGATCTACAGGTGCGTTACTACAGGTGCGTTAGATCTACAGGTGCATTAGATCTACAGGTGCGTTACTACAGGTGCGTTACTACAGGTGCGTTAGATCTACAGGTGCGTTACTACAGGTGCGTTAGATCTACAGGTGCGTTAGATCTACAGGTGCATTAGATCTACAGGTGCGTTACTACAGGTGCGTTAGATCTACAGGTGCGTTAGATCTACAGGTGCATTACTACAGGTGCGTTAGATCTACAGGTGCGTTAGATCTACAGGTGCGTTAGATCTACAGGTGCGTTAGATCTACAGGTGCGTTAGATCTACAGGTGCGTTAGATCTACAGGTGCGTTAGATCTACAGGTGCATTAGATCTACAGGTGCGTTACTACAGGTGCGTTACTACAGGTGCGTTAGATCTACAGGTGCGTTACTACAGGTGCGTTACTACAGGTGCGTTAGATCTACAGGTGCATTAGATCTACAGGTGCGTTACTACAGGTGCGTTAGATCTACAGGTGCGTTACTACAGGTGCATTAGATCTACAGGTGCATTAGATCTACAGGTGCGTTACTACAGGTGCGTTAGATCTACAGGTGCGTTACTACAGGTGTGTTAGATCTACAGGTGCGTTACTACAGGTGTGTTAGATCTACCTACAGGTGCGTTACTACAGGTGCGTTAGATCTACAGGTGCGTTAGATCTACAGGTGCGTTAGATCTACAGGTGCGTTACTACAGGTGCGTTAGATCTACAGGTGCATTAGATCTACAGGTGCGTTACTACAGGTGCGTTACTACAGGTGCGTTAGATCTACAGGTGCGTTACTACAGGTGCGTTACTACAGGTGCGTTAGATCTACAGGTGCATTAGATCTACAGGTGCGTTACTACAGGTGCGTTAGATCTACAGGTGCGTTACTACAGGTGCATTAGATCTACAGGTGCATTAGATCTACAGGTGCGTTACTACAGGTGCGTTAGATCTACAGGTGCGTTACTACAGGTGTGTTAGATCTACAGGTGCGTTACTACAGGTGTGTTAGATCTACCTACAGGTGCGTTACTACAGGTGCGTTAGATCTACAGGTGCGTTACTACAGGTGCGTTAGATCTACAGGTGCGTTACTACAGGTGCGTTAGATCTACAGGTGCATTAGATCTACAGGTGCGTTACTACAGGTGCGTTACTACAGGTGCGTTAGATCTACAGGTGCGTTACTACAGGTGCGTTAGATCTACAGGTGCATTAGATCTACAGGTGCGTTACTACAGGTGCGTTACTACAGGTGCGTTAGATCTACAGGTGCGTTACTACAGGTGCGTTAGATCTACAGGTGCGTTAGATCTACAGGTGCATTAGATCTACAGGTGCGTTACTACAGGTGCGTTAGATCTACAGGTGCATTACTACAGGTGCGTTAGATCTACAGGTGCGTTAGATCTACAGGTGCGTTAGATCTACAGGTGCGTTACTACAGGTGCGTTAGATCTACAGGTGCATTAGATCTACAGGTGCGTTACTACAGGTGCGTTAGATCTACAGGTGCGTTAGATCTACAGGTGCATTACTACAGGTGCGTTAGATCTACAGGTGCATTAGATCTACAGGTGCGTTAGATCTACAGGTGCGTTAGATCTACAGGTGCATTAGATCTACAGGTGCGTTAGATCTACAGGTGCGTTACTACAGGTGCGTTAGATCTACAGGTGCATTAGATCTACAGGTGCATTAGATCTACAGGTGCGTTAGATCTACAGGTGCGTTACTACAGGTGCGTTAGATCTACAGGTGCATTAGAACTACAGGTGCGTTACTACAGGTGCGTTAGATCTACAGGTGCGTTACTACAGGTGCGTTACTACAGGTGCGTTAGATCTACAGGTGCATTAGATCTACAGGTGCGTTACTACAGGTGCGTTAGATCTACAGGTGCGTTACTACAGGTGCATTAGATCTACAGGTGCAATAGATCTACAGGTGCGTTACTACAGGTGCATTAGATCTACAGGTGCAATAGATCTACAGGTGCGTTACTACAGGTGCGTTAGATCTACAGGTGCGTTACTACAGGTGTGTTAGATCTACAGGTGCGTTACTACAGGTGTGTTAGATCTACCTACAGGTGCGTTACTACAGGTGCGTTACTACAGGTGCGTTAGATCTACAGGTGCGTTACTACAGGTGTGTTAGATCTACAGGTGCGTTACTACAGGTGTGTTAGATCTACCTACAGGTGCGTTACTACAGGTGCGTTACTACAGGTGCGTTAGATCTACAGGTGCGTTACTACAGGTGTGTTAGATCTACTTACAGGTGCGTTGTCTCACCTGTTGTGGCTCAGTGGGCCTTTCGTCCTGCCAGCAGCAGAAGAAGTCCCGGTGGAAGGACTCGGCGTACGAGTCCCGGTGCGATCCCTCTGTCGTCAGGAAGGACACGTAGTCTGAGAGCACGGCAGCACGAGCGTCTGGAGACGAGAGGTCGGAGAACCCTCCTGATACGAGACAGAGGGCGACTCTCAGAGAGCACAGGACGTTCAGAGTGTTGTCCCCCGCACACAGACCTATAACACACATATATATATAAAGTACTCCTGATACGAGACAGAGGGCGACTCTCAGAGAGCACAGGACGTTCAGAGTGTTGTTATATATATAAAAGTACATAGAGTATATATATAAAAGTACATAGAGTATATATATAAAGTACATAGAGTATATATATACCCTGATGATAGTGTGTATTGTCTCCTCTCCTCCACAGGTCCAGCTTGTCTTGGAGGATCAGTCGTCCCACGACGTCCGGACGTCTCGACCCAGAGGACGATCGCCCGCTGCCCGCTGCAGAGAGAGAGTTCAGATCAAACACAAATAATAACAGCTGTTTCACCCTCTGTCTGAAACCAGAGTCTGCTCTGTACCTTACCGGGGTTAGATAGGCTCAGTTAGCCAATAGGATCATTAGGATGTAGTTACCTGTGTTTGATAGGCTCATAATGCTGGACGGATGCTTGTCTCTCTGTTAGCCAATAGGATCATTAGGATGTATTTACCTGTGTTTGATAGGCTCATAATGCTGGAGGGATGCTTGTCTCTCTGTTAGCCAATAGGATCATTAGGATGTAGTTACCTGTGTTTGATAGGCTCATAATGCTGGACGGATGCTTGTCTCTCGGCGCTCTGAACTCTCGGATCCAGCCTCTGAACTCTCTCTGGATGTCGTCCACGTCGTAGAACCAATGAACGGGCATCGAGAGCGAGTCCGCTGCGCACATCCCCCAGAATGCATCAGTGACCGCACGCCGCACCGCAAACATCTCACCTGAGAGGGAGGTAAATGTTAAAGGTCCCATGTCATGCTTTTCCGATTATTACCGGTCCCCTTGTGTTCTGTAGCTTCTGCATGTGAACGTACCTCAAAGTGCACCCTGTAACACTCTAACACAAAGAAGACCTGCTGCCCCTGAACGCCTCACTGGACATCTCTCTTTTCTTCCTGGGTACAGTGACGTGACCTGGTACAGTGACGTGACCTGGTAGAGTGACGTGACCTGGTACAGTGACGTGACCTGGTACAGTGACGTGACCTGGTAGAGTGACGTGACCTGGTACAGTGACGTGACCTGGTACAGTGACGTGACCTGGTAGAGTGACGTGACCTGGTAGAGTGACGTGACCTGGTACAGTGACGTGACCTGGTAGAGTGACGTGACCTGGTACAGTGACGTGACCTGGTACAGTGACGTGACCTGGTAGAGTGACGTGACCTGGTACAGTGACGTGACCTGGTACAGTGACGTGACCTGGTAGAGTGACGTGACCTGGTAGAGTGGGCCTGGTAGAGTGACGTGACCTGGTACAGTGACGTGACCTGGTAGAGTGACGTGACCTGGTACAGTGACGTGACCTGGTAGAGTGACGTGACCTGGTACAGTGACGTGACCTGGTACAGTGACGTGACCTGGGTACAGTGACGTGACCTGGTACAGTGACGTGACCATACCCAATTGGTCCAAATGGACCAATCCGTGGAGCCGTTACGTTAAGTCTGTGGATCTGTCCAAATTGACCAATACGCGGACTTCCTCACACAATCTTTTCTCAGCTGCAGCTCTCAGCCTGAGACGGCACGACGCGACGAGGCTGTGTGTGTGTGCTCGGGCTGGTTTCGGGCTGGGTTTCGGGCTGGGTTTCGCTGTGTCTCGCTGTGTCTCTCTGTGTCTCTCTGTGTCTCTCTGTGTCCCTCTGTGTCTCGCTGGGTCTCGCTGTGTCTCGCTGTGTCTCGCTGTCTCGCCGACCAGGAAACCACTCCAGTAAGCCAGCTCTCACTGTCCGCTCCTCGAGCCTCAAAGGGCGGAGCAGCGAGCCCCCCAACGTCCCCCCAACACGGCACCCAGACCCCACGCAGCATTCTCATCTGTTTGTCATTACTGGTGTCATTTCCTGGTTGCTAACAAACGCCATTGTAAAACATAATCACTGATGTTCCGCTGTAACGGTGATGGACTCATCAGAACAGAGTGGGCGTGTAGGACAGAGAGTGAATACACAAGTATGTGTATTCACTCTCTGTCCTACACGCCTTGTTGGAGCTCAAGATGCTGTATGAGAAACCAATGTGAGTTTGGAACATTGAACAATGTGAATCTATTCTAGTAGACCTCAACAATGGAATCAGTAGAAATGGCCATGTAATGGGACCTTTAATAAAATTAAAATAAATACTATAAATATATTTTAAAAATATATAAATAACATTATAACATTTTAAATAAATATCTAAACCCTATAAAGATCATTTCAATGATAGTGTTGTGTTAATATTCTTAGGACATACATTGAAGTCCACTTTCTTTCATTCATTAAAAAAGATTAAAACATCAATTTTTTATTTTTTATTAACAATAAATAAATACTAAAAAATAAGGAACATTTAAAATATAATAATAAAAAACATTGTTGGAAATAAATACAAATGTAAATATAAAATAGTTTAAAATGAATGCAGGTCGCGTTATAGAGCCTTTCTCTTTTTAGGTAACTCTAAAGTCTCAACTCTGTTATTATTTCACCTCTCTCTCTCTCCCTCTCTCTCTCCCTCCTCACAGAGCCTCGTCTCTCTCGCTTTATATTCACAGGTATATATATTAAAGTGTGTAACCACAGAGTCTGCTCACCTGCCATGGAGCCGCTCGCGCTTCTTGTGAAAGAAAGAATCCGCATTTTAAATCTTATATAATTTATTTCCAGCTGTTACAAAACTACACAGGAAGAGGCTAACGGTAGCTGCTAACGGAAACAATGGCTTTAAATTCTCCTTGAACTCTTCATTGTAACTCTTTATATCCTCTACCTGTCTCATGGTGTATCTACGGACATAGAAAGGCTCTTATAGAGTTCATATCTGTTCTTTAAACACGCTTTAAAAGTAACGAAAAGCTTGAGGTTTGATTATTCCATAAGTCTTTGAAAAACTACAAATACGGTAAGCGGTGTGGGTCAACTCAAAATGCGAAGCGTTACGAGTAACAATGAAATCAGCAAGAAATACATATTTATTAATAATTTGGTTTATGTACAACTTACACCGGTAATAAGCGCCAACAGACGGGACACAATAACAACATTAAAGCCAAAGATCTGCCTGAAGAAACTACTAATACGGGAAGCGATCAGGGTGAACTCAAAAAGCGAAGCGTTTCCAAGTAATGTCTGTCCCCTCAGCGCGGACTGACAGGCAGATACAATGCAGTCTGTGAACAATAGGGTTTTATTTAAAATATACTTCAAGAACAAGTTTGAAACCGTAGATAAACTTAACTTGTAGTACATATTGGGAGACAATAACATTATTAAAACATTATTAAAGCCGAAAATCTGCCTTAAAAACCAAACTCAGGGCGCCCTGATTCATTTAATGACTACGGCAGCCGGTGAGGGACAATAATGAAAGAAACGAGTTACAATCTGAAAGTGGAATAGCAATGCTAGCATAATGTAAGACATATTAAGCGCTTTATGTTGAATAAACGTTAAAAATACAGAAACCATCCGGTGGTTTTTAACGTGAAGGATTCCCGGTGGACCTGCAGCTGTTAGCGAAGCTTTAATTAAACAGTCCTGCTTGTTTTTAGCTTCAGAGCTAACAGGCTAGCAGCTGAGATGGAGGAATGTCAGTTAGATCCGCAAGAAGTGGGTAAGAAACATCTCTTTTAATGCTTTTTAACTTAAAACTGCAGGTTTGTTGAGTTTCTGAGTCTTCAGGAAGTTATTTAGGGGCTTGTTTATTCAGTCTGCTGCTGCTAATGTGTCACAATAAACAAAAACAAACAAAAAATAAACAAAATGTGTCAGAATTAAACTAAAATAAACGTCAAAATTAACATAATACGCACAGAAAACATGATGACGTTGATTATATTGATTATATAACGTTTAAGCATGAAATAATGTCTGTAGCGTTTCTAATGGGGACATGTAGTTCCTATGGTTCTCCACCAGGGGGCGCCTGTGAGTAGAGAAGCAGCAGCAGTAGAAGAAGACAGTTATTATATTTATTTAATTTAATATTAAAACATTTGAATTTATATATTATTATTTTTTTCTATACATTTAAATGTTTTCCCCGAATGTATTACTTTAACAAATAAGCCATTATAAAAGTAGTTGGACATGTTTTTCCTTTAAATTCACTTATTAATTACTCGCCTTATTTCTGAATCTGTAATTTAAAATCTATTATCAGCAATGAAATACAAAATAATAATAAAAAAAAATAAGTATAATTATTTTTAAACCTGGTTAAATGATAATAAAAATGAATCTAAAATAGTGTTTGGTGATTTTAAATGGTCCTGTTTGTGTTTCAGAGGAGGCCAAGGCGTTCTGGGCGGAGGAGGACGTGGACCAGGTATTCGACGGAGTCTACGATTACCTGGATCACCTGAAGAGAGTCCTGAAGAAGAACACTGCCACAGATAAAGGTAACGCTTCTCTTCTTCTGTGGTACCTCACATCACTTCCTGTTGTAGTGAGCTGACTTCCTGTCCTGTGTTCAGAGTTCGTTCAGGGTCTGAAGCTCCTTGAGGTCCTGAACTCTCCTCCAATCGAGGGCCAGGACGCCTCTGTGGTCCAGGTGGTCATCGGATCAGGTACTCACGCTCTTATTCTGAAAATCACGCTCTTATTCTGTAAATCATGCTTTTATTCTGAAAACCACACTCTTATTCTGAAAATCAGGTTTTTATTCTGTAAATCATGCTTTTATTCTGAAAATTACGTTTTTATTCTGTAAATCATGCTCATATTCTGAAATCATCCTTTTATTCTGAAATCATGCTTTTATTCTGAAGTATTTTTTGTTAGTTGTTAAAGTATTTATTAAATATATTAATATAACTGGTATTTTTGTCTCATTTTGACGGTGCCATCCTGTCCAGATGAACTCCCCCCCCCTGAGTTCTCCCCTGACTCCTCCCCCCTTGGCCCCCCCGCTGAGGAGCTGCTGCCCCCCCTCTACCTGCCGCACACCTGCAGCAAGGTGAACATAATAATAATCATTAATAATAAGATATAAGATATAATATATATTTTATATAATAGCTGTGTTTCTCCCTGCAGTCCTGCATGCCCAGCTTACCCAGCATGCCTCAGTGCACCCCTGCGTTCTGGGGTCAGAACCCCCTGAAGGTGCCGCTGCTCTCCGGCTTTAAGAGGCTGACCTCCATGGCGATGTCATCGGGGGCGGAGCCTGAGAAAGGGGGCGGGGACGTCCTGTACAAGGCGCCGTGCGGGAAGAGCCTGAGTAACCATGACGACGTGATGCACTTCCTGTTGGCGTCCGAGAGCTACGACTTCCTGCAGGTTGGTGCAAAACACAGAGAACTACAAAACACATAGAGAACTACAAAACAACACAGAGAACTACAAAACACAGAGAGAACTACAAAATGACACAGAGAACTACAAAACACAGAGAGAACTACAAAACAGAGAGAACTACAAAACACAGAGAACTACAAAACAATACACAGAGAACTACAAAACAACACAGAGAACTACAAAACAGAGAGAACTACAAAACACAGAGAGAACTACAAAACAACAGAGAACTACAAAACACAGAGAGAACTACAAAACACAGAGAGAACTACAAAACACAGAGAACTACAAAACACACAGAACTACAAAACACACAGAACTACAAAACAACACAGAACTACAAAACACAGAGAGAACTACAAAACAATACACAGAGAACTACAAAACAACACAGAACACTTTAAAACGACACACAGAGAACTTCAAAACAACACAGAGAACTTCAAAACACAGAGAGAACTACAAACCACACAGAACTACAAAACACACATAGAACTACAAAACACACATAGAACTACAAAACACACATAGAACTACAAAACACACAGAACTACAAAACACACATAGAACTACAAAACACAGATATAACTACAAAACACACAGAACTGCAAAACATACAGAGAACTACAAAACAATACACAGAGAACTACAAAACACACATAGAACTACAAAACACACAGAGAACTACAAAACACAGAGAACTACAATACACAGAGAACTTCAAAACAACACAGAGAACGTCAAAACACAGAGAGAACTACAAAACACACATAGAACTACAAAACACACATAGAACTACAAAACACAGAGAGAACTACAAAACACAGAGAGAACTACAAAACAAAAACATATAACTACAAAACACAGATAGAACTACAAAACAATACACAGAGAACTACAAAACACAGAGAACTACAAAACACAGAGAACTACAAAACACAGAGAGAACTACAGGAACACACAGAGAACTACAGGAACACACAAAGAACTACAAACACAGAGAGAACTACAGGAACACACAGAGAACTACAAAACACAGAGAACTACAGGAAAACACAGAGAACTACAGGAACACACAGAGAACTACAGGAACACACAGAGAACTACAGGAACACAGAGAGAACTACAAAACACACAGAGAACTACAAAACACACAGAGAACTACAAAACACACATAGAACTACAAAACACAGAGAACTACAAAACACAGAGAACTACAAAACACACAGAACTACAAAACACAGAGAGAACTACAAAACAATACACAGAGAACTACAAAACAACACAGAACACTTTAAAACGACACACAGAGAACTTCAAAACAACACAGAGAACTTCAAAACACAGAGAGAACTACAAAACACAGAGAGAACTACAAAACACAGAGAGAACTACAAAACACAGAGAGAACTACAAAACACACATAGAACTACAAAACACAGATAGAACTACAAAACACACATAGAACTACAAAACACACATAGAACTACAAAACACACAGAACTACAAAACACAGAGAGAACTACAAAACAACACAGAGAACTTCAAAACACAGAGAGAACTACAAAACACACAGAGAACTACAGGAACACACAGAGAACTACAAAACACAGAGAGAACTACAGGAACACAGAGAGAACTACAGGAACACACAGAGAACTACAGGAAAACACAGAGAACTACAGGAACACACAGAGAACTACAGGAACACACAGAGAACTACAGGAACACACAGAGAACTACAAAACACAGAGAACTACAAAACAACACAGAGAACTACAAAACACACAGAGAACTACAAAACACACATAGAACTACAAAACACACATAGAACTACAAAACACAGAGAACTACAAAACACAGAGAGAACTACAAAACAATACACAGAGAACTACAAAACAACACAGAACACTTTAAAACGACACACAGAGAACTTCAAAACAACACAGAGAACTTCAAAACACAGAGAGAACTACAAAACACAGAGAGAACTACAAAACACAGAGAGAACTACAAAACACACATAGAACTACAAAACACAGATAGAACTACAAAACACACATAGAACTACAAAACACACAGAACTACAAAACACAGAGAGAACTACAAAACACAGAGAGAACTACAAAACAATACACAGAGAACTACAAAACAACACAGAACACTTTAAAACGACACACAGAGAACTTCAAAACAACACAGAGAACTTCAAAACACAGAGAGAACTACAAAACACACAGAACTACAAAACACACATAGAACTACAAAACACACATAGAACTACAAAACACACAGAACTACAAAACACACAGAACTACAAAACACACATAGAACTACAAAACACAGATATAACTACAAAACACACAGAACTACAAAACATACAGAGAACTACAAAACACACATAGAACTACAAAACACACAGAGAACTACAAAACACAGAGAACTACAATACACAGAGAACTTCAAAACAACACAGAGAACGTCAAAACACAGAGAGAACTACAAAACACACATAGAACTACAAAACACAGAGAGAACTACAAAACACAGAGAGAACTACAAAACACAGAGAGAACTACAAAACAAAAACATATAACTACAAAACACAGATAGAACTACAAAACAATACACAGAGAACTACAAAACACAGAGAACTACAAAACACAGAGAACTACAAAACACAGAGAGAACTACAGGAACACACAGAGAACTACAGGAACACACAGAGAACTACAAACACAGAGAGAACTACAGGAACACACAGAGAACTACAAAACACAGAGAACTACAGGAAAACACAGAGAACTACAGGAAAACACAGAGAACTACAGGAACACACAGAGAACTACAGGAACACAGAGAGAACTACAAAACACACAGAGAACTACAAAACACACAGAGAACTACAAAACACACATAGAACTACAAAACACACATAGAACTACAAAACACAGAGAACTACAAAACACAGAGAACTACAAAACACACAGAACTACAAAACACAGAGAGAACTACAAAACGACACACAGAGAACTTCAAAACAACACAGAGAACTTCAAAACACAGAGAGAACTACAAAACACAGAGAGAACTACAAAACACAGAGAGAACTACAAAACACAGAGAGAACTACAAAACACACATAGAACTACAAAACACAGATAGAACTACAAAACACACATAGAACTACAAAACACACATAGAACTACAAAACACACAGAACTACAAAACACAGAGAGAACTACAAAACAACACAGAGAACTTCAAAACACAGAGAGAACTACAGGAACACACAGAGAACTACAGGAACACACATAGAACTACAGGAACACACAGAGAGAACTACAGGAACACAGAGAGAACTACAGGAACACACAGAGAACTACAGGAAAACACAGAGAACTACAGGAACACACAGAGAACTACAGGAACACACAGAGAACTACAGGAACACACAGAGAACTACAAAACACAGAGAACTACAGGAACACACAGAGAACTACAAAACACAGAGAGAACTACAAAACACAGAGAGAACTACAAAACACAGAGAGAACTACAGGAACACACATAGAACTACAAAACACAGATAGAACTACAAAACACACATAGAACTACAAAACACACATAGAACTACAAAACACAGAGAGAACTACAAAACACAGAGAGAACTACAAAACACACATAGAACTACAAAACACAGATAGAACTACAAAACACACATAGAACTACAAAACACACATAGAACTACAAAACACAGAGAACTACAAAACACAGAGAACTACAAAACACAGAGAACTACAAAACACAGAGAGAACTACAAAACACAGAGAGAACTACAAAACACAGAGAACTACAAAACACACATAGAACTACAAAACATACAGAGAACTACAAAACAACACATAACTACAAAACACAGAGAACTACAAAACAATACACAGAGAACTACAAAACACACATAGAACTACAAAACACACAGAGAACTACAAAACACAGAGAACTACAATACACAGAGAACTACAAAACAACACAGAACACTTTAAAACGACACACAGAGAACTTCAAAACACAGAGAGAACTACAAAACACAGAGAGAACTACAAAACACACATAGAACTACAAAACACAGAGAGAACTACAAAACACACATAGAACTACAAAACACACATAGAACTACAAAACACAGAGAGAACTACAAAACACAGAGAGAACTACAAAACACACAGAGAACTACAAAACAACACAGAGAACTACAAAACACAGATAGAACTACAAAACAATACACAGAGAACTACAAAATACACAGAGAACTACAAAACAGAGAACTACAAAACACAGAGAGAACTACAAAACACACATAGAACTACAAAACAACACAGAGAACTACAAAACAACACAGAGAACTACAAAACAACACATATAACTACAAAACAACAGAGAGAGAACTACAAAACAACACAGAGAACTACAAAACAACACAGAGAACTACAAAACACACAGAACTACAAAACAACACATAGAACTACAAAACAACACATAGAACTACAAAACACACAGAGAACTACAAAACAACACAGAGAACTACAAAACAACACAGAGAACTACAAAACACACAGAACTACAAAACAACACAGAGAACTACAAAACACACAGAGAACTACAAAACAACACAGAGAACTACAAAACAACACGGAGAACTACAAAACACACAGAACTACAAAACAACACAGAGAACTAGAAAACAACACATATAACTACAAAACAACAGAGAGAGAACTACAAAACAACACAGAGAACTACAAAACAACACAGAGAACTACAAAACAACACATATAACTACAAAACAACAGAGAGAGAACTACAAAACAACACAGATAACTACAAAACAACACAGAGAACTACAAAACAACACAGAGAACTACAAAACAACACAGAGAACTACAAAACAACACAGAGAGAACTACAAAACACAGAGAGAA